CAAAATTATTAACTGGAAATAAGCAATAAACACAATAGCACACAGTGGGGAAAAAAGTATTTAGTCAGCCACAAATTGTGCAAGTTCTCCCACTTAAAAAGATGACAGAGGCCTGTAATTTTCATCATAGGTACACGTCAACTATGGCAGACAAATTGAGAAAAAAATTCCAGAAAATCACATTGTACGATTTTTAATGAATTTATTTGCAAATTATGGTGGAAAATAAGTATTTGGTCACCTACAAACAAGCAAGATTTCTGGCTCTCACAGACCTGTAACTTCTTCTTTAAGAGGCTCCTCTGTCCTCCACTCGTTACCTGTATTAATGGCACCTGTTTGAACTTGTTATCAGTATAACATACACCTGTCCACAACCTCAAACAGTCACATTGTAGGATTTTTAATGAATTTATTTGCAAATTATGGTGGAAAATAAGTATTTGGTCAATAACAAAAGTTTCTCAATACTTTGTTATATACCCTTTGTTGGCAATGACACAGGTCAAACGTTTTCTGTAAGTCTTCACAAGGTTTTCACACACTGTTGCTGGTATTTTGGCCCATTCCTCCATGCAGATCTCCTCTAGAGCAGTGATGTTTTGGGGCTGTCGCTGGGCAACATGGACTTTCAACTCCCTCCAAAGATTTTCTATGGGGTTGAGATCTGGAGACTGGCTAGGCCACTCCAGGACCTTGAAATGCTTCTTACGAAGCCACTCCTTTGTTGCCCGGGCGGTGTGTTTGGGATCATTGTCATGCTGAAAGACCCAGCCACGTTTCATCTTCAATGCCCTTGCTGATGGAAGGAGGTTTTCACTCAAAATCTCACGATACATGGCCCCATTCATTCTTTCTTTTACACGGATCAGTCGTCCTGGTCCCATTGCAGAAAAACAGCCCCAAAGCATGATGTTTCCACCCCCATGCTTCACAGTAGGTATGGTGTTCTTTGGATGCAACTCAACATTCTTTGTCCTCCAAACACGACGAGTTGAGTTTTTACCAAAAAGTTATATTTTGGTTTCATCTGACCATATGACATTCTCCCAATCCTCTTCTGGATAATCCAAATGCACTCTAGCAAACTTCAGACGGGCCTGGACATGTACTGGCTTAAGCAGGGGGACACGTCTGGCACTGCAGGTCTAGCACTGCAGGAGTCCCTGGCGGCGTAGTGTGTTACTGATGGTAGGCTTTGTTACTTTGGTCCCAGCTCTCTGCAGGTCATTCACTAGGTGAACTACCGTGTGGTTCTGGGATTTTTGCTCACCGTTCTTGTGATCATTTTGACCCCACGGGGTGAGATCTTGCGTGGAGCCCCAGATCGAGGGAGATTATCAGTGGTCTTGTATGTCTTCCATTTCCTAATAATTGCTCCCACAGTTGATTTCTTCAAACCAAGCTGCTTACCTATTGCAGATTCAGTCTTCCCAGCCTGGTGCAGGTCTACAATTTTGTTTCTGGTGTCCTTTGACAGCTCTTTGGTCTTGGCCATAGTGGAGTTTGGAGTGTGACTGTTTGAGGTTGTGGACAGGTGTATTTTATACTGATAACAAGTTCAAACAGGTGCCATTAATACAGGTAACGAGTGGAGGACAGAGGTGCCTCTTAAAGAAGAAGTTACAGGTCTGTGAGAGCCAGAAATCTTGCTTGTTTGTAGGTGACCAAAGACTTATTTTCAACCATAATTTGCAAATAAATTCATTAAAAATCGTACAATGTGATTTTCTGGAATTTTTTTCTCAATTTGTCTGCCATAGTTGACGTGTACCTATGATGAAAATTACAGGCCTCTCTCATCTTTTTAAGTGGGAGAACTTGCACAATTGGTGGCTGACTAAATACTTTTTTTCCCCACTGTACATAGATTGTGAGTTAATTTTTCATTAGACGTACAGTTGCATAGGGCAGGAGTAGACTACACAATGAAAACCTGCATAAAGCAAGCTCAGCCCTGTGTTTTATTGTCCAATCATGTTGCTTTCTCTGTGTCTGTGTATAGGAAACCCCCCTATTCCTTTAACATATAATTAATATGAACAAGTACAAGGTTGGTGCAGTTTGACAGTGTTTTGATCCTCCCCAAGGCCAGGAGTTTTTCTAGGAGTTTTTAAAACCATGTGACCTGTTTAGAAAAACTCTGGTCCCATCATAGCCCATAATAAGCCTTTTTAAAACAGATGAATCGTCATACCGTATAAGGTCCAGAGTATTACCTGGTTAGGTTACCAGATCAGGAAAAACTACAGGCCCCAGAATGTTGTTTTCGCCACACCACTCTGGGACCTGTGGTGCCACCTCTGGCTCAAGTTAACTGATGCCTTAATTCTTTCCTTGCGGTCTATTGGCAAGATGTATAGTCAGTCATGAATCATTCAAAGCACTGGAAACTGAATTGAATCCCCATTCTGGAACTGGAAATAGAAATTCTTACAGCTCTAAGGCCTACATTAAATCTTGAATTTGAAATTACAATGTTCATAATTAACTGAACCTGACAGGGGACAAAGGGGAAGGGATATTAGACATGGTGAGCATAGGCCAAGGGGGTATGATATTATAGTTCTATCCTCCTTTTTATTCTGACACTTCTCCAATTGCCTAGATTGGTCTAAGCTGGTATCAAGTGTTTCTGATCAGGCTTATAGTCTTTCAGGACTGTGTGCTTTTCCCATGTTCATTGCATTTGTATCCATTGTACCGAACGGACCTACAGCATGCAGAGCCTTGGTTGTGAACTTTTATGGTGTGCAGGAAAATGGGCTCACAGCACAGGGGATCTGCGTTCAAATAAATAAAAGAAACCTTGAAAGGGTTAGAGGTCAAAGGTTAAGGGACTGAGGTGCGATGACCCCAGCAGGATCTGCTCTCTATAGACATTTAATTATTTCCGCAGTGTCCCTCTCACTTCTCGCCCAGACCCCACTGGGTTCCCAGTCTTCCCACTGCTGGCAAGTGATTGGAGTAAAAATCAGCTCTGAGGATTTGAAAAGATTTGGGCTCCTTTGTTGACATCAAACTCAAAATAGAGGTTTAAAGGGGCAATCTGCAGTTGTTACATCCAATTTTAGATTTATAAATTAATGATATGTACCCATTGATTCTTTAGAATATAACTTATAAACGCGTCATTATCTCAGTTTAACTGCCATACCCCATTACAACACAAAATATAAGCTTGTTTTACTCCAATGTTAAAGTAAATACAAACAAACACTAAATAGCCTCAAAACATGGTTAAAACTATCATTTTAATATCATGGATGGTTTACATCCATAGCTTTGTCTATGAATTTGAGAGTGGTTACATTTCTCCTGCCCCATCTCTCAGCTTTTTACCGAAACATGGGCGTGGAGAACGCTTTGTTATTGTTTCATCTGCTGATTGTAGTCCTGTGTGGCGCTTGCAATGCCAGGGTTGTGGGTTTGATTCCCACGGGGGACCAGTACGACTCACTAACTGTAAATCGCTCTGGATAAGAGCGTCTGCTAAATGACTAAAATGTAATGTAAATGATTGCCGCTTTAAGGGAGGGGGAGTTGTGCAATGACATGCTACTCCAAATATTGAACCAAGAGGTACTATGTGGTGATACTTTCACACAAGCCAAACGGCAAGTCAATTAAGATGTGTGATGTCATTGCATTTTAATACAGAACACTCCTCTTAAAAGTTATTGATCAACATTTCCAAAGCACAAGCAGTGTATCCTCAATATCAATAAATAATAGTGACATTTTATCAGTCAGACAAGTTAGTTTGGATAATTCCACTGGAAAGATACTAGCCTGGCCAAAACTATGAGGTTGAACAAGGTTTGTAGGCTATACACAAACGGACTGCAGAACAGTGACATGTTTATAACCAATGGTATGGGTTTGAGAGAAGAGAAGAAGGAAGAAATGAGAACACTGTCCACATTTTGATTGGGGTTTTTAAAATTATTTATGTGGCAGGAAATAATTCCACATACATATCAGTTTAAACTGTAACAGTTGTCACCACAGAAGTTGCTGAGTGCTTTTATTTACAGAAAAAAGTGACTAGAGTTCATATATGTTACACTTTGATATTTGTTCCTTTTTATTCCTACCCATAGGGTAATAGGTCCACAGTAGCTTTGAGTGCATTATAAAACACACAAACCTAGGTTAATGTTTCCTTCACTATCCATACAAAAATGAAAACAAAATACCAACTGTAACACAGAAAACCAAACCAAAAATAACACCATGTTACAAAGTTACAGAAAATACATCTATAGTATGTCCTCCTCCTCCCACAAATACAGCAACAGAGCTTGTGACAAAGCACACAAATAATCTGGCTGAGGCACAGCACTCAAAACTATTCATGTGAAACTGACAAGCTGATAACTCTCCATGCTCTCCACATGTTTAGCTTTGTCTCAGCCATAAACGTCTCTCATTGTTTTTTGGCTGTATGCCGATTGACGTGACTTGGCTCCAGCTGTGAAACAATAAGGCAATCCATCCTGGGTTGTATTCATTAGCCAGCAAACTGAATAAAACAGACTGAAATAGGGAACGACAACCTGAACCCAATAAGAAACACAATGTTCATTTTCCGTTGCAAAATGTATTGCTCTGTTGTGCCCTAATGAATACGACCCTGGTTCTGCAGCAGGCTGGAGCTTGTCTTCTGGACAGCGCCTGAGAGGCCTGCTCTGAGCCCAGACAGGCAATGAGGTGGTGCTGACCAAGAGAAAATAGTGTATGTTGTTAAGAGACTGTACTGATGTCACCCACAGTGGACAACGTAAACAGAGTTCCATCGGTTGCGTACACATTAGTGGCTGAGTACAGGGAGGGAGGGGTGATGAGTGTTTTTTTATTTGGTACAGATGTGGGATCTTACAGCAGGTGTATCCTGCAGCATTTTTGTAGGGTTTGATAAGCCTTTTTAAACCTCGAATACACTACACATTTGCATTTCCTGCTGTGCAGGATATTTCCTGAAACAACAGGGTGATAAAATTAAGATCCTACATCTGTAGGTCGACTGCAGGGATGGGTGTTCATCGATTGCAAAGGCACAGCTGGGCAGTCCACACTGCATACTTCCATATGTGAGATTATTCCGACTGCCTCCGTTTGCATGGCCATTTTCTGCAAACAACAAACAGCCCCACCGTTGAGACGTTTGCTGCCCTGAACAGACTAGGCCTACGCCACAATATTCTGATTGTGTAATGTGAGAAGAAGTCCTGAATCTTAGCTTGGTTGTCTGTGCTGTGGCCTGTGGCTCAGGTAACCCAGTGTTGCTACTCTCCAGCGTCTCTCCCCTACCATTACACTGATACTCCTGATTAGGTGCCTATGGGTCGTGTTGGGGAAAGGCAGTGGGACATTTGCATCCATAGGCTTGGCAGGCAGGCTGCATGGGCATGACTGTGCCCAGGGGAGATCCTCTCTCTGAGGGCTGAATAGGAAGCCTACTTGGCCCAGCCTGTGGTGGCCTCTCCATTGATGTAGGCGAAGCCGGGAAAGTGTTGTGAGTGTTCGTACTCAGAGTTCCTGCGAGGGGCCAGGGGGGAGTACATGTCTCCAGAGGCAGCGTAGCGGGAGGAGTGTATAGGGGGACTGGTGTAACAGCTGTTGGCCGGGGAGACATCAGCCCACCGGGGGGCCACGGGCGTAGGGTGCAGCCGAGGAGTACCTCCCATCAAGCAGGGCTCCATCCGTGACATCTGGCTGTTGAGTGGGTACTGGCAAACAGAAGAGAATCTTGGGTGTTAAGGTGATGGTATTATACTGTATGTAACATGTACTGTATTTATCATATCTAGGGCTGGGTTTTCCCCTGAACACTAGGACAAACCCCCAGCCCCTAATTAGGCTATAGCTGAACTCCAGAGTTTTTCCTGGTCACATAACATTACTGGGCAAAACTACTGGCCCTGATATAATAAATTATGTGTAACATAACACAAATCCTTGATTTCTCTGTAACACTATGAGGTTTATAATTCATAATGAACATCAACTTTAGAACCCCTATGCACACCAAAATGTTGTACATGGTGGACATAAATAAGACACTTCCTGGAACTGAGCTGACCGTTGGACTAGGATAAGTGGTCAGCCGGTAGTATTTTCGTTGCCCAGGGTGACTGACGACTAACAGCGCGGACAGAATCAGCTCCTCTTACAAAATATTTGGGACTGGTCAGGAAATCCAACAAAGTGTCCCATTGGTGTCTTCTCCTTCCTTTCCTCTTGAGATCCTCTCAGACCCTCTCAGACAAAGCGCACACATTGTGCCCGATTTAAGTTGAGACCAGGGCGGAAAAAAGTGGAAGTAAAAGTCTTTGCTCTTTATCCCACTAAATATAAACACACATGCAACAGTCGGTTCTATTATGAGGAATGGTGGCACGGAAAAAGGCTGTCATCACGGGTCAGGGTTTCTCAGCGACCTCTTGTTCGTGCAGAAAAGAGACCATTGAATAATAATATTTTAATAAATACCCCCTGCCCTGGTCTATGGGGTCTATGGCCACTGGCTCAGAGAGGTGAATAGACTATTGAGTGGTGGGAAGGGGAGGCACAGCAGAGCAGAGAGTAGGCTAGACCACCTTTCACTGTCTGCTGCTTCCGCTGGTGTGGAGTAGAGGAGAGGGGAGGAGAGGGGTGGGGCGGCAAGTAGCCTAGCGGTTCGAATCCCCAAGCCGACTAGGTGAAAAATCTGTCAATGTGCCTTTGAGCAAGGCACTTAACCCTAATTGCTCCTGTAAAGGTGTCAGCATGCTTCAGTTCAGCTAGGTGAACCGAACAAGATCTTTGCTTGGAAAACGAGAAAAAAAGCAACAATAGTACTGTTTGTCCATTTTGAGACGCCGTAGCCAGTATACACTTCCTCAAAATAGTTCGAATTAATATAAGGTAACTCAAGAAATCTGTCATTAATTTTGACGTTAATTTTACATCTAACTAAGAAGTTTGGTGCAGTATTTCTCAATGAAAAAATGTGCATGAAAACGAGTCGTCTCTTGTTGTTGTTGTTGTTGTTGTTGTTCTTCTTCTTCTGTGGATTGTATATGGCAGTTGGCAACCAACTTTAAGGTGCATTACCACCACCAACTGGACTGGAGTGTGGACCAGAGACAGTGAAGGTCTAAATCCTACCCAATAATCTTGTCTCCCTAAGGAAACGAAACACATAATTAAATGTTGTCTCTTGTTGAATGACAACAAATACTTTATTGAAGAATCCCTATTGTTGACCAATCACCGACGAAGGGGCGTAGACTGCGGTTACCGACTTCGGCTTGCCTCTAGGAAAAAATGTTGTGTGTCCGAACAGCCGAAATAAACCTTACCTAAGTCCAAAACGAACAAAAACGTCACAAAATGTTGTCATAATATATGCATGAACTCTTCCGAACTGTTTCGGCTGGGAAGCATGCGGACTCCTTAAGTCGCCTGGATAAGAGAGGAGAGGGGGATTCAGACTGCTGAGGACCAGCTGATCTCCTCCCACTACAAAGACAGGGGAGGCTGGAGGACCCTTGACAGGAAATTACCATCAGAAAAGTCAACTCACGCCACTCGCTGCTATGGCTAAAGGCGTCAGTATGCTTCAGTTCGGCTGGCGCCTAGCTGAAGTCGGCTAGCAGAACCGAACAAGTGTGCTTGCATACTCCCTTTAAAGATCTTTGCTTGGAAAACGAGAAAAATAGAGCAATAGTAGTTTGTCCATTTTGAGATGCCGTAGCCAGTTCCTCAAAATAGTCAGAATTAATCTAAGATAACTCAAGAAATCTGTCATTAATTTGGACGTTTCTGCAGAGGAGATCTTAGTCGCGCAGTTTTACATCTAACTAAGATGTTTGGTGCAGTATTTCTCAATGAAAAAATTTGCATGAAAATGAGTTGTCTCTCATTGAATGACAACAAAGACTTTATTGAAGAATCCCTACTGTTCACCAATCACCGACGAAGGGGCGTAGACTTCGGCTACTGACTTTGGCTACCGACTTCGGCTTGCCTCTAGAAAAAAACTTGTGCCCGAACAGCCGAAGAAACCCTCACTGAAGTCCAAAACTAACAAAGAAATGTCACTAAATGTCGTCATAATATATGCACAAATTCTTCCGAACTGTTTCAGCTGGGAAGCTTACGGACGCCATTACAGTGTATGAGCTCCACTGACACCACCACCACCACAATGCTGCAGCACCCTCCTCCTCTCGCCTGCTCTTGCTCTTGTTGGAATCCTCACTCTCTCTTCTTTCACACTCACTCTTGTATTCCCCCCCGAGCATGCCATGCTATAGAGTGTGTTTTGCATACTAACAAGCCCCGTTCTCATTTACACTTCCTGTTCGTATTAACTTTCCTCTCTGATTTACCACCTTGTGTAAAATTCAACCTTACAAAAGCTAGGATGGAATTTACGCCTCGCCTACAACACAACCGGGAATATCACATCTATATTATATAGGGATGTGAATAGATATCAGAGGGAGGTCTTTATAGTGGCACGTTAAAGAAGTATGCCTTCTGATTCAATCTGCCTGATTCAATGCCACATATTTCAGTGGGTCTAGCGCCTCTGTAATGATGTACTAAGGTTATTAGGTGATTTCCCAGCTTTTCTATGTCAAATAACCCAGCAGACTGTCTAATTGTTCTCTTTGTAATGGATTTGATACAGTGTTGCACTGGCTTTCTTCCCTCTCTGCTCTGACGTCAATTAAATACAATGGAGACCCAAGCCAAGAACAACTATTGTCACCAAGTCTTGCAGGTGTGGTGAACTGTGTGAAAAGTTGGAATTGTTGACGCTGTGGCTATATTTCAGCATTATCAAACAGGCCAGAAAGATACAGTAGATGGCGCCGGAGGAGATGGCTGCCGTTTTACGGCCCTCTAACCAATTGTGCTTTTATTTGTGTTTTTTCGTAGTTATTTATAATTTATTCTGTACATAATGTTTCTGCCACCGTCTCTTGTGACCAAAAATAGCTTCTGGAAATCAGGACAGCGATTACTCACCACGTATTGGATGAAGATTTTTTCTTCAACGAGTTGGATGCGAAGGATATTCTACAGACACCCGACAAGGCCCAAATCCCCGTCATTCGCATGAGAAAGAGACAGAGATATCGTGGACATAGGTCGGGGTACCTTGTAAGGATCAGACGGAGATAGAGTAATCTGCCTCTTCCATCAATCCTATTAGCCAACGTACAATCATTTGAAAACAAAATGGACGACCTAAGATCAAGGATATCCTACCAACGGGACATTAAAAACTGTAATATCTTATGTTTCACCGAGTCGTGGCTGAACGACGACATCGATAACATACAGCTGGCGGGATATACACTACATCGGCAGGATAGAACGGCTGACTCCGGTAAGACAAGGGGTGGCGGTCTGTGTATATTTGTAAACAACAGCTGGTGCATAAAATCTAATACTAAGGAAGTCTCAAGGTTTTGCTCGCCTGAGGTAGAGTATCTCATGATAAGCTGTAGACCACACTATTTACCAAGAAAGCTTTCTTCTATATTTTTCGTAGCTGTCTATTTACCGCCACAAACCGATGCTGGCACGAAGATTGCACTCAATGAGCTGTATAAGGCCATAAGCAAACAGGAAAACGCTCATCCAGAGGCAGCAATCCTAGTGGCCGGGGACTTTAATGCAGGGAAACTTAAATCCGTTCTACCTAATTTCTACTAGCATGTTAAATGTGCAACCAGAGGGGAAAAAAAAACTCTAGACCACCTTTACTCCACACACAGAGACGCATACAAAGCTCTCCCTCGCCCTCCATTTAGCAAATCTGACCATAACTCTAACCTCCTGATTCCTGCTTATAAGCAAAAACTAAAGCAGGAAGCACCAGTGACTCGGTCAATAAAAAAGTGGTCAGATGACACAGATGCTAAGCTACAGGACTGTTTTGCTAGCACAGACTGGAATATGTTCCGTGATTCTTCCGATAGCATTGAGGAGTAGCACCACATCAGTCACTGGCTTCATCAATAAGTGCATCGATGACGTCGTCCCCACAGTGACCGTACATACATACCCCAACCAGAAGCCATGGATTACAGGCAACATCCGCACTGAGCTAAAGGGTAGAGCTGCCGCTTTCAAGGAGCGGGACTCTAACCCAGACGCTTATAAGAAATCCCGTTATGCCCTCCGACGAACCATCAAACAGGCAAAGAGTCAATACAGGACTAAGATTGAATCATACTACACCGGGTCCGACGCTCGTTGGATGTGGCAGGGCTTGCAAACTATTACAGACTACAAAGGGAAGCACAGCCGCGAGCTGCACAGTGACACGAGCCTACCAGACGAGCTAAATCACTTCTATGCTCCCTTCGAGGCAAGCAACACTGAAGCATGCATGAGAGCATCAGCTGTTACGGATGACTATGTGATCACGGTCTCCGTAGCCGATGTGAGTAAGACTTTTAAGCCGGGTCAACATTCACAAGGCCGCAGGGCAAGACGGATTACCAGGACGTGTACTCCGAGCATGTGCTGACCAACTGGCAAGTGTCTTCACTGACATTTTCAACATGTCCCTGACTGATTCTGTAATACCAACATGTTTCAAGCAGATCCACCATAGTCCCTGTGCCCAAGAACACTAAGATAAACTGCCTAAATGACTACCGACCCGTAGCATTCACGTCTGTAGCCATGAAGTGCTTTGAAAGGCTGGTCATGGCTCACATCAACACCATTATCCCAGAAACCCTAGACCCACTCCAATTTACATACCGCCCCAACAGAACCACAGATGATGCAATCTCTATTGCACTCCACACTGCCCTTTCCCAGCTGGACAAGAGGAACACCTACGTGAGAATGCTATTCATTGACTACAGCTCAGCGTGCAACACCATAGTGCCCTCAAAGCTCATCACTAAGCTAAGGACCCTGGGACTAAACACCTCCCTCTGCAACTGGATCCTGGACTTCCTGACGGGCCGGCCCCAGGTGGTAAGGGTAGGTAACAACAAATCTGCCACACTGATCCTCAACACGGGGGCCCCTCAGGGGTGCATGCTCAGTCCCCTCCTGTACTCCCTGTTCACCCATGACTGCATGGCCAGGCACGACTCCAACACCATCATTAAGTTTGCCGACGACACAACAGTGGTAGGCCTGATCACCGACAACGATGAGACAGCCTATAGGGAGGAGGTCAGAGACCTGGCCGTGTGGTGCCAGGATAACAACCTCTCCCTCAACGTGATCAAGACAAAGGAGATGATTGTGGACTACAGGAAAAAAAAGAGGACTGAGCACGCCCCCATTCTCATCGATGGGGCTGTAGTGGAACAGGTTGAGAGCTTCAAGTTCCTTGGTGTCCAAATCACCAACAAACTATCATGGTCCAAACACACCAAGACAGTCGTGAAGAGGGCACGACAAAGCCTATTCCCCCTCAGGAGACTGAAAAGATTTGGCATGGGTCCTCAGATCCTCAAAAAGTTCTACAGCTGCACCATTGAGAGCATCCTGACTGGTTGCATCACCGCCTGGTATGGCAACTGCTCAGCCTCCGACCACAAGGCACTACAGAGGGTAGTGCGTACAGCCCAGTACATCACTGGAGCCAAGCTTCCTGCCATCCAGGACCTCTATACCAGGCGGTGTCAGAGGAAGGTCCTAAAAATTGTCAAAGACTCCAGCCACACTAGTCATAGAGTGTTCTCTCTGCTATCGCACGGAAAGCAGTACCGGAGCGCCAAGTCTAGGTCCAAAAGGCTTCTTAACAGCTTCTACCCCCAAGCCATAAGACTCCTGAACAGCGAATCATGGCTACCCTGACTATTTGCATGCTGCTGCTACTCTGTTTATTATCTATGCATAGTCACTTTAACTCTATACACATGTACATATTACCTAAATTACCTCGACTAACCGGTGCCTCCGCACATTGACTCTGTACCGGTATCCCCTGTATAAAGCCTCCCTACTGTTATCTTATTTTACTGCTGTTCATTGATTATTTTTGTAATTAATTTTTTTAAACTTATCTATTTTTTTTACTTTACACTTCTTTTTCTTAACTGCATTGTTGGTTAAGGGCTTGTAAGTAAGCATTTGACTGTAAGGTCTACACCTGTTGTATTCAGCGCATGTGGCAAATAATTTTATTTTATTTGATATGTTGGATGACAAAGGGTCTAAAAGGGTTGAGCAAATATAAAGCCAATCTCGGCACCCAGAACCAAATGTTGTGTGTGCGCTGAGAGACTAATATAAAGCTAATGTAAGCTAACACTTTTCGACTAGATGTGCGTAGTATAAAGTTACTGAATTTTCTCCACTGTGATTCCATCCTGTATAAACCGTTAGCAGATTCTCAGGTGAATGTAGGTGCTATGGCCTGATTTGTTGGGACTGACCTGTGCAGAGGTGCGGTGGTAGGCGGGATAGTGGAGGGGGGCAGGGATACCCGGTTCATGGGCCAGACTGGGGTACTGGCTCTGGATGGAGTGGGGGTGCTGGTTTGAGTAGCTTCCGTAGTTATAGCTCCCAGTGAACCTGGAGAGCACGCACAAAAACAGGTCAACATCATGTATTCAATGTAGTACTTCAAATGTTTTCCATCAATTGTTTTGTAAGAAATCAAATAACCCCTCTATGAGAGCTCATAACCCCTCTATGACAGCTCATAACGCCCCTATAAGACCTTATAACCACCCTATGAGAGCTCATAACCCCTCTGAGAGCTCTCATAATCCCTCTATAAGAGCTTATAACCCCTCTATGACAGCTCATAACCCCCCTATGAGACCTTATAACCCCCCTTTGAGAGCTCACTACCCCCCTATGAGAGCTCATAACCCCTCTATGAGAGTTCATAACCCCTCTATGACAGCTCATAACCCCTCTATGAGAGCTCATAACCCCTCTATGACATAACCCCTCTATGAGAGCTCATAACCCCTCTATGACAGCTCATAATCCCTATATGACAGCTCACCCGTGTTCATCCCTGTGTGCGTAGACTGGCAGTCGATGGGCAGAGGAGGGAGGGGGCACTGGGGCACCACTGCGCATGCAAGGCTGCTGCTGTCCGCCCTCAGAAGGGGTGCCGCCTGACGTTGTCACTGTGTACGTAAGGGACCAGGTATATGACTGAACAGCTCCTGGCACACACAGGTAACACATACACACACAGAGACAAAGGGATTGGCACAGAGGAATCTACCTTGCCGTGACCCTTAGAAACCAACCCAATGCATGAGCACAGGCAGATAGGCCCATTCTAATAAATCATTTAATTCAACTGTTATGTATTAATTAATGTATCTTACATTATGTACTTTGTTGGACATGATCGTAACATTACCTACAGAACATGACCACAGACAAGTGGGATTGCTTCTATAGTATTGTAGCTCCAGTCTAGTATTAGCTCAATATCCAAGCAACTCTCCCCACTTACAGATTCACTCCCCAGGCCCCCAGTGTTGCTGTCTGTCTCTCTCACCTGTGGTGGTTGTGGCCCCTGTGTACTCTGGGGACTGGGCAGCAGTGGGGGAGCTGGCGGCTGGGACCCCCACTGAGGTGACAGACTTGGCCGGCGAGAAGGGCCCTGGGGACGTGGAGGTGGGCGTGGTCTCCGTCAGCATCATCTCTTCTTCTTGCTCAGCTATAAGAAGGGGTCAGAGGTCAATAAACTATTAGAGAGACATGAGGTTCTTATGTACTCAAGAGTCAATGTACCTTATACAGCATTCAATTTCAGTATTGTCAAAATACATTTAGTTATTTTTGTTGTTGTTTTAGTAGCAGCAGCAGCAGCAATACTGATTGGTAGTATGATAGGTAATTCCAAAGTCCTATACAGAAGTATTAGTAATATTATTATCAGTAGTAGTAGTAGTAGTAGTAGTAGTAGTAGTAGTACTAGTAATTGTAGTTGTTGTGATTGTAGTAATACTAATAGTTGCAGTGGCAATGCAGTGCTGTAGTAGCAGTAGTAGCAGTATTGGAAGCAGTTCCAGTAGTAGTTGTTGACAGGGTGGTGGTCTGACCTGTGTTGCCCTCTGCCTTCATGGACCTCATGAGCTCGTTGGCCCTCTCCTGGCAGTGCAGGGACTCCAGCAGGTACAGCACATAGTCATCAAACATCAGGTGGATCAGGTGGAATGAGCCTACACACAGACAGATAGAGAGAGAGAGAGGGGAGATTCAAGTTACTCCGCCCAGTACACTGCCCTGAACTTTAGTCACTGTTACTAGCCGGCTACCACCCGGTACTCTACCCTGCACCTTAGAGGCTGCTTTGCCCTATGTACATAGAGTCATTGAACACTGGTCACTGTTTTACCCACTTTATATGTATATACTGTATTATAGTCATGGTTCATCTGATATAACTACTGCTGAACACACCTTTGCTCTGACCTTTCGGGCAGGCTTCGCAAAACTGCAGTACACCATTGACTGCATCATAGCAGCACACTCAACTGAACAGGCAGTGTGAAGGAGAAGAACGACTGGGCAGTCATTGTCATCAAAAGAGACAGGGGGGCTGTTTCTTGTTTCCGGGTACAAAGTCACTGCCCCCAATATGACGACTGACCCCTGGGTCTGGTATGGGAGATGACTGAGACTGTCGCTGGGGAAGGAAAGGAGTGTGACACAATCGTGACATTGTGCTGGTCACTCCAGCCATCGTGCGCATAATAAACACCAGTGGCTATTCAGGGAACGGAGCAGTGCAATCCTGCCTGGTCATAAAATGGAAAAGATAGGCAAACAGATTGGGGAAGGGAGGATGGGGTAGCCATTGTTAATTAGCTGTTTTTGCACAGAGAGCTGCTTTATCAAAACACTGCAACCAGCTGTGGCTTTGATATTCACAGACAGGCCTGAAGGGGAGGGAGAGGAGAGGAGAGGAGAGGAGAGGAGAGGAGAGGAGAGGAGAGGAGAGGAGAGGAGAGGAGAGGAGAGGAGAGGAGAGGAGAGGAGAGGAGAGGAGAGGAGAGGAGAGGAGAGGGAAGCCATTTTTGGCATGGCCCCTATATCTTTCGGTGCCTTGGTCATGCACCGCTAGATAGTAAAGTAAAGGCTAGGGGGGCCATGCCAGCAAGGCAGCCATCTTACGACCACACTTTCCCCGTTTTGGATTGGGAGAACAATCGAAGGGGATTCTCTGCCGAGTCTGTGCATAACTTTTCTTATTATAATTTCCCAAAAATGGGGTGAGGGGCTTAAACTACTTTTGGACCTATGTGCATAGTAGTATATTCACATCTCAGTTCAGCAAGTTATGGGGCAATGCCCTGGGTAATCTGTTAGTGTTCTTCAAAGTCTATTCTAGTCAACTTCTGTCTGACACTAGTGACACCAGCAATATGCTCCAATAACGTTACATAACCCCACTAAAGCAAACGTATTTCCTGTGTCGGCTGATACATGCCCCAGCCCAATGTTAGATCCAACCACTCACCGAAGCTAGGCGCACTGTGGAGGGTCATATCCCGGATGACTCGTGTCCCGAAGCACGACCACATGAGCAGGAACTGCTGGGCCACCTTCTTCAGGCACCCAGGCCTCTTCCCTGCCACCTTAAGGGGACATTTCCATGAGAAAAGAAGGGGAAGGGTTGGGGAGGGAGAGAATTAACCCCTGGGTTCGTATTGGGGCTTAACCCTCAGGAATGAAAAACACGTCAACAAGTCAACTATTTAATTTGCCCCTGGGGACAAGCCTTCCCATTGAACCATTGTCTGGGGAGTCCAGGACGTTGCCAGGGCAACAACATTTTACAAGCCCATATCTGGAGCATAATGGCGCAAATGGGAGCCATGAAGACATCATTAACTAGGAGGATGGCAGCGCGAGTGGCTCTGCGTCAGCAAGTCATGGAGAAACGGATGTCATTCAAATGCATCGTTTATTTTTAAAGGGCCATAATCCTTACTGATTTGCTGTATAAATATACTTCAACAATAAAATAACACATCGTCGTCCAGAATGGCCTTGGTAAATGTAACACATACGTCAGTGTGGACATTTCTAGGGGACAATTTAAGAGGTTATTTCTATAGTTTCCACTTACGAACAGTATACACCTGTAGCGATGGTAGAAAGCACATGCCTCAAGAGGATTTCTGGAAGTTTTCTGATGATACATCCTAGATCTTAACAGGGCATAAAAAAAATATGTTTTTGTGGTAAAATGAAGTAATGAGTTCTTTAACTGACCTTGACAACACAGCGGTCCACCATGGAGTCCAGCCACTCTATGTAGGCCTCTATAGGAGACTGCTCCTCCAGCAGATGGTCAAACTCCTGGTACACTGAGAGGGGAAGGAGACGAGACCTGCATTTAGCCACAGTTTGTCAACACATAGCCTATGTCATCATTCAGGGCACATACATTTGTAACTGGTGGAGGATGTCCCATACTTGTCTACCCAGATGAGAGTCTTGACAGATAGCAATTTGGATCAAATGAAGAGGTGGAAAAGTTGTAGTGTGTGGACCTAAATTACCATTACTTAAATCAATCAAACTACCAAAACCAGCAGCCTATACAGTATGTCTTGTATGTGGCTATGTTTCTTACTTGTTGTTATAGTGCATCATTTCTCTCTGTCTAACAGAACAGAATGAGAGTGGGACATTGAAATAGCTTCTTTATGCAACAACACCAGCCAATCTGTGACCTGTGACCCTATCACGGCCATTTCAGGGGGTTGACGCTGAAATGAATTTGAGATGCTCCACGGGGTGTTTCAGAGCAGAGTCAACTTGCTTAACCTTTCAGCCTCCATCATTAAGGCTTGACTTTCCTGGCCGTGGGAATGATTGTCCAATGGCTGACATCTACTGTGTGTTATTGGCGGCTGTGTGTGTGAGAGTGTGGGAGTGAAGTGCATTTCTCTCCTACAATGCTATGAAGGAGAGCAAGGAATTTAAGTAAAGTGTATTGGAGCACAATAGGATTGTTTAGAATGGGGATTCTAGGCTTCTTGACTAAACGTAACTTAATATGAATGCTGCTACAGGGATTGTGTATGTGTGTGCATTTGTGTCTGCGTCCCTACGCGTGTGCTTGTCTTGCCCTTACAGTGGATGATGAGCCGCCGGTGCTCCTCCCGTGTGTCCTCCATGGTGTAAAGTGTCTGCTTGGTGATGCTGTTCAGGTCCACGTTCCTCCAGTCCTCCATCATCTGAAAGGTGATGTCTGCACTGTGGATCACCGTCCGCGATGCCTTTCCGGAGACACATCAACACACACATTATCAGATAGTACATTATTAGATAGTGATACACACTGCATATACCTTTATCAGTCATATCTTCATATTGACTTCATTACATTGATACAGTGATGTAGCTACCTGACATAGATGGTTCAAAGATGTCTGCCGCTTGAGAACCTGAGAAAATCTTCTAGATACTGTGGATAAAAGGGAGAGGAAATATTAACTGTTATGGTTTATACAGAATACCATTTAGCTATCGGAACCTATTTTCTAAAATCTGTAACGATTTTATTTTTCAATGCAGACACCTACATTCGAATTTGATATTCCTCAGGTTTTCAGGCAGGTCGTGAAGTGCTATTTTAAGCCACTCATCCAGCTGTTTGGCAAACTTCCGGATCACCTGGGTCAAACTGGATCAACACATGTAGAGTACACCTAAATTACATCACAAATAACTGAGGCAAATCAAGAGCTTGGGACTATAAGGTTCTATCTGTATTTTTGCTAAAAATGAGTTATTGACATAGTCTTGTTCTGTTCAATGTTCTCTACCCATATATACTCTAAATACCCCAATGTCGTTAAGTTAAAAATAAGAAAAAAATTGCTGACACCATTCAAACCAATGAGGGTTCGGAACTTTAAAGCCAAATATCTCAGAATCATAGAACCTTATGCCCACTGGGCACAGATGTCAATTCAACTTCTATTCCACGTTGGGTCAACTTAATTTTATTGAAATTACGTGGAAACAACGTTGATTCAACCAGTGTGTGCCCAGTGGGAAGCTCTCGAAATGGCAAGTTTGCCATGTCAGTCTTTTTAAACAAACAATTCACACGTCAAAGTATGTTTAAAACAATTATGTGGCTCTCATGGACTGTCAGTCTTTGCATTCATAACTGTGTCCATGAATTGTAGATGTTGGGCTGAAACACAGGATTGTGGCATTAGTGATCGCTGGGGAGTGGATAGGAGCTACAGTACACAACACATGCACTCACCTATCAGGCAGTGCTTGAAGGACAGTGGGCATGAGAACCCCAGAGATTGCCTTGTAGAGGATGGAGTCACAGACGCCAACGATGTTGACCACAGTGGAGGAGCCCAGGACAGGGAGCATGTGGGGGGGCATGCCCTGCCAAAAGTGCAGCAGGAAGCTCTGGACCTGGAGACACCCAAGAGAGGAGGGTTATTGTCTTAATGTCACATACAATACAACTAAAGAGACTAGAGAGACTAAAACAATATTTCTCATGAGATTAATTCAGGTTAGAAGTCGTTTTTTGTGACAGACTGGTAACATAACACATTTGGTTAAGGGTTCTGAGATTAGGTTCAAACTAAACTGTATCTCATGAAAATGGGAGGTTTTAATTTGGAAGTCCAAGAACATTTAGCTCATAATCTTTTCTGTTACCAATTTCAACAAGAGAGTTAAAAAAGTCCACAAAAAAAATAACCACAAAGTCCTGTTACATTTACTGGGGCTGGTAAATAAAGGGGCATAAGATCGACAGATATATAAGTGGCTTGCCTCGTCAAAGTTTGCGCGTATTACTGTATCCAGTATCCTCTGGCAGTGAGTTCTGTACATCATGATGAACGTTGACACCTGTGGGAAAATGTAACGAACACTGAGTATTCAAATCCCTTGACTTTTTCCACATTTTGTTAAGTAACAGCCTTATTCTAAAATGGATTAAATTGTTTTTTTCCCTCATCAATCTACACACAATACCCCATAATGACAAAGCAAAAACAGTTAATTTGACATTTTTGCAAATTATTTTAAATAAAAAACTGAAATCACATTTACATAAGTATTCAGACCGTTTACTTTGGTGAAGCACTTTTGGCAGCGATTACAGTCTCGAGTCTTCTTGAGTATGACGCTACAAGCTTGGCACACCTGTATTTGGGGAGTTTCTCCCATTCTTTTCTGCAGATCCTCTCAAGCTCTGTCAGGTTAGATGGGGAGCGTCACTGCACAGCTATTTTCAGGTCTCTCAAGAGATGTTCAATCGAGGTTCAAGTCCGGGCTCTGGCTGGGCCACTCAAGGACATTCAGAGACTTGTCCCGAAGCCACTCCTGCGTTCTCTTGGCTGTGTGCTTAGGGTCGTTGTCGTGTTGGAAGGTGAACCTTCGCCCCTGTCTGACGCTTGGCATTCAGGCCAAAGAGTTCAATCTTGGTTTCATCAGACCTGAGAATCTTGTTTCTCATGGTCTGAGAGTGCTTTATGTGCCTTTTGGCAAACTCCAAGCGGGCTGTCATATGCCTTTTTTACTGAGGAGTTGCTTCCATCTGGCCACTCTATCATCAAGGCCTGATTGGTGGCGTGCTGCAGAGGTGGTTATCCTTCTGGCAGGTTCTCCCATCTCCACAGAGGAACTCTGGAGCTCTGTCAGAGTGACCATCAGGTTTTTGGTCACCTCCCTGATCAAGGCCCTTCTCCCCCGATTGCTCAGTTTGGTCAAGGGGCCAGCTCTAGGAAGAGTCTTGGTGGTTCCAAACTTCTTCAATGTAAGAATGATGGAGGCCACTGTGTTCTTGGGGACCTTCAATGCTGCAGACATTTTTTTGTACCCTTCCCCAGATCTGTGCCTTGACACAATCCTGTCTCGGAGCTCTACGGACAATTCCTTCGACCTCATGGCTTGGTTTTTCTTCTGACATGCACTATCAACTGTGGGACCTTATATAGACAGGTGTGTGCCTTTCCAAATAATGTCCAATGAATTGACTTTACCACAGGAGGACTCCAATCAAGTTGTAGAAACATCTCAAGGATGATTAATAGAAACAGGATGCACCTGAGCTCAATTTCGAGTCTCATAGCAAAGGGTCTGAATACTTATGTAAATAATGTATTTCTGTTCTTAATTTTTTATGAATTTGCAAAAATGTCTAAAAACCTGTTTTCGCTTTGTCATTATGGGGTATTGTGTGTAGATCGATGAGGGAAATTTTTTATTTAATCCATTTTAGAATAAGTCTGTAACGTAACAAAATGTGGAAAAAGTAAAGGGGTCTGAATACTTTCCGAAAGCACTGTAACTGCATGGCAGTAACGGAGTTCCAAGTCTGTATCACATTGCTACTTATCAAAGGGACATCCTGTTTCTTAGTGACATTCTTAGTGAATGACCAGGATGCTGCTTCAGTTGGGATACATTCTAATCAGTGAACTGGCTTCAACTGTACAGTATATATACGGTAGCTAGTGTTTTCAAGTGATTATAATACACAAAGGGATTGATACGAAAAACAAGACAATAAATCCCTTCCAAAAGCATCAGCACCAATAAATACCTGCAACAGGTCCCACACCAAAACTATGTTACATAAAACCGGCTTTAGAGATCAGCAACTCACAAACCATTGAAAATGATGGCCCCCTCTTTTAAAAGCAGGACAGCTAGAGCTTGTCCTTTGTCCGGCACTGGATCTTATTATCTCCCCACAAGATTAAGAGTTAGTGAGGAGCCAGCAGCATATAAATCCTCAAGGTCCTTCTTCTCTAAACCCAGACTCAGTGAAGGTCCGGGCCAGATAAAAGGAGAGAGCCAGAGGGTGCGAGAGGGGCAAAAGGTTGGTTGGATGAGAGAGGAGGGGGTTGTGGGGCTGGGATGTTTTAGAGTCCTGTTTACCTTCTCTTCTGGCAGACTGGCAGGCAGATTTAGGTCTTTGACATTTGGAAAGTCTGGCAGGAGCGTCCCCAGTTTGGAGCGTGGTGAATACGCCACTGTCTGCTTGGTGACCTCCTTCTTGCCCGTCTCGTTCACCCACGCCGCCCCCTTCTTGGAGTACATCACGTCGTAGTACTGGGAGCTCTCCTTCACAGCGATGCCATAGTAGTGGTACCTTTAGGGAATAGTTGATAGTTAAAGAGGTGTATAAATGGTAAAGAAAGTTGCAGTCATCTTTTCTTGCTGTGGATTTATATGACCAACATTTCCACTAAAGAGCCTTAATCAGGGTGTGAGGGCGTGGCCTGTCATCATATGATTTTGAGGGGTTGCATCCTCATATGGTGAAGAGTACTGGCTTGAAGAATCCTTAAAAGCAGGCTCTCGCTTTCCACTATCTCCATCCAATTACCATTCTCCTATACTGAGTATTTTTACATTGAAAGGTTGAGGTTTTAACTTTCATCATACAATACAATTATACTTCTCTTGAATTAATGAAAAAATGATCAAAACCAATGTGCACAAAGAAAGACATGACAGCTTATGCATTGAGGTATTTTGATCAGAAAAGTAGAAAACAACATTGACTTACTTTGACTGGCCCCTGGTCCCCAGTCTTCTTGTGGTCAGTTGTGGAAACTGTTGTCTAATAATCTGTTAGAATCAGAGAATTAGAAGTGTATCAATTATTTTTCCTCTGTCAGATTTTTCATGCTTTTTGAGGTGTATATCCCCCATGTAAAGGACCTGTTAAAAATGAAGTATCACTCTTGACAGTGATATCATACTGTAGATGTAAAGGAAGTGATACACTAAAAGGACAACCCAAGAAAAAAGTCCACAATTTCCTCAGCTAGCGGCTGAAGTAACTAGCCCATCCAGAATTATTAATATTCATGTACAGCTCATAAAGAATGACAGGAAAATCCATATTGAACATATCAATGAATCAAGTGAAAGTATCTCAAATGTTTTGGGCCAGTATCTGTTCAATGAGGTCTGTTCTAGACGTGAAGAGCTGTGAAGTTCCCAGAGCCTTAACCTCAGGGAGGTCTGTACTGGAAAAAAAAAGGCTTTGGGAACCATACATTTTTACATGTTCAGAGGTATTATTTTTTATATATTAAAAACCTCTCCAAAATCTCTCCCCCTCGCTCCTTCTCCCCCTCTCCCTCTTTCTTTTTGTCCATGATATTGGCTCCTTGGTTCAGCTCCCGGTGCAGAAACTTTAGCAAACAGTGGAGCTTTCCATTGTGCGGGATGAAAAAAGAGGCCAAGCTGTGAAGTTTCTGTCAGGCCCCGCTTGATAAATGAGCAGACAGGGAGGCAGCCTGGGCCCTCGCTTGTTTTTTTGTCCCGAATCAATGAAGCCTTCCTAAAGGACACCCCACACTGCTCCAGCCACTGATCTAACATTCCGCAACATCTCACCCTTCCAAATTTCCTTTAATTACACATTAATCCAGGCCCCTTCTTTTTTTCAATATCCTCCGACAGGAGCTGGGGGGGTGGGGGACCAGGGGTGGGATGAGGATGGGGCTGGGGGTCAGGGTCCGGGTGTTCGGGGTGGCTGGGAGTAGGTGGGTAGAGGGGCTTGTTTTCTCTAGCTGTGTAACCAGTCCAGCGGTTTTCAGAGGAACCATCAGTGGACTGTTCCGTTGGCTCTCAATAACTACATGTGGATTTTACTTTCCAAATATACCGTAACAAGCCATGAGCCTGATTTACATACACAATCAGTAAGCATACTTGTTCAATGCTGCTTATTTCCCCCCTTCATGTTTTACTAATGTCTATGAAGAAGATAGTTCTAATAGATGGTAACCTTCCTACGCAGGTATAGCCTACTGCACTTTCTGTGAAGTATTATGTTCACAAAATTAGTTTGGGCTCAACCAAGCAGTCCCTCCTAAGTTTCCTGTTAAACTGGTCAGTGACGGGGCAGAGTGCTGTGTCCTACCTTCCCAAAGCTGGCGGCGTTGACAGGCTGTGTGTCGTGCTTCTCACAGAAGTCCAGGTAGTGCATGTAGAGAGCACTGCGGGGGATACAAACCCCTTCTGCAATCTCATAGTTCTCCTCCAGCCTGTAGGTGAAAAGCAGACCTGTCAATCAATCCCCACAAAATAGCATGGACTTCTTACTGACCTCAAAGACATCTCTAGTCTGGCATCTACCGGCATCCAAATAAAGTGTTACCCAGTTTACTCCTTTACTTATTCAGTCAACAGCAGGTTATTTTCTAGTGGACCATATTAGATGAACAATCTAACCTAAATTAGGAGCTACTTTGGGAAATTACACGTGGATTTATTTTACAACATCTGGGAAAGACGGAACTACAACCATCAGTTCACTACATAATATCTCTACTGTATAGCATAAATACATCACAAAACTAAGCATTACAACATGCTTCAAAGTACTAGAAAACACTTATCGGTTGCTCCAATAATACATTGAAAATAGACGATAAATTGGGGCATATAAAGTTGTGATGAAGCACTCTTAATAGCATACATGTTATAGCATACAAAATTCTGGATGATAAAAAAGTTATTTTGAACATCTCATGAACATAAAATGAACTGCGATGTCTGCAATTACTCATTAGTATCAAGAGACTATGTACACCTGTATTTTAAGTGCAAAATAAAGCAAAGACTGTTATTTTATCTGTCTTATTACAGAGCAGTGTTAAATAAGAACATTTCACAAGAATCCTCAATATTATGTCTCATGAACACCTCCCTCAAGCAATAAACCAAAACAAAAAGGGCCATTTCAGAAGTGAGATGAAAATGGGAAGTTCCCTCACTGCTGTTGAAGTGTGAATGACTGTGTAATCCCTGGGGACCTAAAACGCTCCTCTATATTCATGTAGACCAGGTATGTCTATCTAAATAGGAATCTATGTATATGACAACAACACTATGAACATTTGAACATCTTGAAGAACGATCTGGCCTTAATGGCCATGTACTCATATAATCTCCATCCGGCACAGCAAGAAGAGGACTGGCCACCCCTCAGAGCCTGGTTCCTCTCTAGGTTTCTTCCTAGGGTCCTGCCTTTCTAGGGAGTTTTTCCTAGCCACCGTGCTTCTACATCTGCATTGCTTGCTGTTTAGGGTTATAGGCTGGGTTTCTGTATAAGCACTTTGTGACATCTGCTGATGTAAAAAGGGCTTTATAAATACATTTGATTGATTGAACACTACACAAACCATCCCGCCTCGACTACAGTGGCATGAAAATGACTGATAAACACATATTCACCACCCTTCAAAAAAGTACATCTCCAACAAACAGACTGATCAAGTGTTTTCACCAGTGTGCTTTCACCAGAAGGAATTAAATATAAAATACAGACAACAAATAATTAAAAGAAGAAGAATGTCTTGATACAGTGCCTTGCAAAAGTATTCATCCCCCTTGGCATTTTTCCTATTTTGTTGCATTACAACCTGTAATTTAAATGGATTTTTATTTGGATTTCATGTAATGGACATACACAAAATAGTCCAAATTGGTGAAGTGAAATGAAAAAAATAACTTGTTTCAAGAAAAAAAATAGAAATAAAAAAAATAAAAGTGGTGCGTGCATTTGTATTCACCCCCTTTGCTATGAAGCCCCTAAATAAGATCTGGTGCAACCAATTACTTTCAGAAGTCATATAATTAGTTAAATAAAGTCCACCTGTGTGCAATCTAAGTGTCACATGATCTGTCTCATGATCTCAGTACATATACACCTGTTCTGAAAGGCCCCAGAGTCTGCAACACCACTAAGCAATGGGCACCACCAAGCAAGTGGCACCATGAAGACCAAGGAGCGCTCCAAACAGGTCAGGGACAAAGTTGTGGAGAAGTACAGATCAGGGTTGGGTTATAAAAAAATATCCGAAACTTTGAACATCCCACGGAGCACCATTAAATCCATTATAAAAAAATTGAACGAATATGGCACCACAACAAACCTGCCAAGAGAGGGCCGTCCACCAAAACTCACACAGGCAAGGAGGGCATTAATCAGAGAGGCAACAAAGAGATCAAAGATAACCCTGAAGGAGCTACAAAGCTCCACAGCGGAGATTGGAGTCTCTGTCCATAGGACCACTTTAAGCCGTACACTCCACAGAGCTGGGCTTTACGGAAGAGTGGCCAGAAAAAAGCCATTGCTTGAAGAATAAAATAAGCAAACACATTTGGTGTTCGCCAAAAGCCATGTGGGAGACTCCCCAAACATATGGAAGAAGGTACTCTGGTCAGATGAGACTAAAATTGAGCTTTCTGGCCATCAAGGAAAACGCTATGTCTGGCGCAAACCCAACACCTCTCATCACCCCAAAAACACCATCCCCACAGTGAAAGCATGGTGGTGGCAGCATCATGCTGCCACCACCATGGGAAACTGGTCAGAATTGAAGGAATGATGGATGGTGCTAAATACAGGGAAATTATTGAGGGAAACCTGTTTCAGTCTTCCAGAGATTTGAGACTGGGACGGAGGTTCACTTTCCAGCAGGACAATGACCCTAAGCATACTGCTAAAGCAACACTCAAGTGGTTTAAGGGGAAACACTTAAATGTCTTGGAATGGCCTAGTCAAAGCCCAGACCTCAATCCAATTGAGAATCTGTGGTATGAATCTGTGTAGTCCCCTGTAGCTCAGTTGGTAGAGCATGGCGCTTGCAATGCCAGGGTTGTGGGTTCGTTTCCCACGGGGGGACCAGTATGAAAATGTATGCACTCACTAATTGTAAGTTGCTCTGGATAACAGCGTCTACTAAATGACTCAAAATGTTTTAAAAAATTAATGACTTCAAGATTGCTGTACACCAGCGGAACCCATCCAACTTGAAGGAGCTGGAGCAGTTTTGCCTTGAACAATGGGCAAAAAGCCCAGTGGCTAGATGTGCCAAGCTTATAGAGACATACCCTAAGAGACTTGCAGCTGTAATTGCTGCAAAAGGTGGCTCTACAAAGTATTGACCTTGGGGGGGTTGAATAGTTATGCACGCTCAAGTTTTCTGTTTTTTTTGTCTTATTTCTTGTTTGTTTCACGATAAAAAATATTTTGCATCTTCAAAGTAGTAGACATGTTGTGTAAATCAAATGACACAAACCCCCCAAAAAATCAATTTTAATTCCAGGTTGTAAGGCAACAAAATAGGAAACATGCCAAGGGGGGTGAATACTTTCGCAAGCCGCTGTATAGCCAGCTTCCTGTTTTAATTTTGTCTAATGCATATTATTCCCTTCTGAACATAACAGGTGCAACTACACAGGTCTCTGGTCCTATGAATGCATTACAATATGTTACAATTATGTCCTTAATCTTTACATGATTCAATGATATAGGCCATTACATGAGAAGACTGTATACAGAGAATCCTCAAACATATTTTTGCAAACAATATAAGAACAAAATAGGGGAATGCTCTTGTAAACTTGATCAACAAACAAAAAGCTAAATTGCAAATGCCCAAAATAATAAAAAATAAATGTGCTGAATAGTTCATGCATTGAAGACATTGAATTAGCATTATATCTCTAGAATTACAGCTTTAGGACAATGCAACATTATGCAAATCTGATTGGATGTTGTTGGACCAAGTTACAGACTTTCACAAAAAAGTACATAACATAATAAACAGGTTAGGAAAGAGGTGAATATACACAAACACTTACCATTGTAGGGTAGCTGGTGTTGAATGGGGTTTAGATGCCCTGTTGTTTTCTTTCTCCTCATCTTTCACAGACAAAAAATGAATGTGTCAACTATTTTCAACCATCACACCTCTTCAATTAAGTACTTAGGCAGAGCAATATAAAGAAAATAAAAAATAACCAATTGCTGTGAATAAAAAATAAAAAATTCAATCTAAACTGAACAAGGCTAAAAGGTTGACGCTAAAACTAAAAAAAAAAGTGATAATTTCTCTCTTTATCCAACTATTTTACTCTGCAACAATATTATGATTAATGTAAATCAGTGGATTATCAGGGACATCTGTTATTGACACGTTTTGTAAATAAAGGTGTGTGCTTTATTTGCACAAATTCCAATCCTACAAGTGCACTGACTTTTGCCATATTTTGCGCATTTTATTATTGCGCACCTTATTATAGCAAATATCAATTTAGTTTAATCAATAGCACTCTTAATTTAGGCCCATGACAATAGATTATTTCAAGAGATATTTATCCATTACTTTATGAGTTGGAATAATAAATACAACATTATAGCGTTACACAGTCACTGCTTACTTTCGTCATTGGACGTATTCCCCAGGGACGTGTGACTGGAATACCGCTTGCTCTCGCTCTCGTTGAGGCATCTTTCAATCCAGCTCTCTAGAAAATGGCAAGATGGCCCACAGATCAGGGAAAAGCCTACAGGAATTTACAATTGTAGGTTTCTTTCTGTGGCCCACATGAGGATTAATTATTTATTCATTTGGGCTATGGCCCATCAAAATGTGGCAACAATTGGGTGGTCAGATTTGTCCAATATTTGGTTAGCCTACTCTATTGGCCCTAATCAATATAGGGCCTATTTTAAGATGTGGTTCACAAAAAAAGTAACTTAAATAAATCTAAATCTAACAATCAAATTTGGATAGGTTTATCAAAAGTTGACTTTGCTAAAGCTGCATCTGCAACAGGTGGCCTTTTTAAAACTTCATTTTAAAACACATTTTGCCAAATGCAAAATAAATGGCCATAAACTCAGTCTATCTCATATCTAAACAGTGCACAACCAGTTGCATATCACTGCCTACACACACTCATTTGGTCACTAATGTGACAGAGCAATTCGACTACAATCGATTGTTGGGGCCTAGCGCAGCTGTGCTTCTATTTGAAATGTTTTCACCACAACTGCAGGAATCATTCCTTGTTCTTGGGGGGACTACAAGCGCGCACACTTGCCAAATTGAGCCCGCACTCATTGCTAGAGCAGCCTCGTGACACAGAAGCCTTTGTCCCATTCTAATTTCTACTTAGAAATAGCTCAACTGGTGTCCTTTCTTGGGACAGAAACCCTTCTAATATTTCTCGTAGTCCTGTAGATCCTGTTTCCCGCACGACAACAATCACCATAGTAGCAGTTACCAGGTTTTACTGTTGGCAAGGCAACCTGTTCCATCTCATCAGAAGGGGTTAGAGAATTGGTCATGGAAATGGAAAAGTTTAGAGACTCTGAACTATCAGAATAAATGAATATTAGACACCTTTTGGTTGATGAGTGGCACGCGCTGTTACAATAAATAGCCTAAGAAATAAGCTAGAATGCTTTATCTCATGCATAAAAGCAAAAGTGTAGTCTATGCCTAATTTATCAACTATGATCTTTGCAAAGCCCTCCTATTCAATAGCCTTAGGTCAGGCATTCGTTTTTATTTGTAAGAACAGAACATTATGATTAGGCTACCTAACATTGTTTACAATCCACAAGTTGACCAGAGAACACGTGCTGTCATCAGGTCCATCAAGTTTAAAGGAATTATCAGATTAATAAACTAAAATAATCATTATTGTCATCATCATCATTATTTATAATAATATCACCATCATAGATTATTATTATTAGACCAATTATCACAATTAATACCAGTACATTATTAGGCAGAAGTGTAATTTATTTCATTGTCTTGTGCACTAGACTAGCTGATACTTTAAAATGTTTCCCCAGTCATTGATGAAGTTAGTCCACTGAGGTGAAAATAATTATCCATTGTAGCACTGATCCTTAGGTTGTAATTGAATCATTTGCCATGAGCACAGATAAGGTAGAGCTCTAAATAATTGGATTAAATTCGATCAACGGGCTAAACGGATCTCTGATAATTTTATAGGCACACTCTTTCATGTTAACCAACTCCCCACCAGACAGTGAATTACCATAAACAGCAGGTGGGAAAAACTCCCCGATTAATATTCAGTAAAGTAAATAAATGCGCGAGCCTATAGCCTAATAAAATTATGTATGACGTTAGATTGAGAGCACAAGTAGAAAAACGCATAGCTAAAGCCGCGACATTCATTATAACTAATTATATCCTACATCTGCATATTATGGCTATGTTTCTATAATCGCCTTATCTGAACATTTTTAAAAGCGCACTTTTCAGAAGCAGGCGATCTCCGTTACTTTTGCGATACAATACATTTACCATAAACATTTCGTTTTTGATATTAAATCGAATTTACTTTAGGCTACTTCTTGCGTCATGCCGTGCGACTTTATCCTGCTGCGGGCGACTGGCCGCTTATTTCCCCCAGAAGTTGTTTACAAGAAGCAGGTGCATGACAGGCTACATGCGCCTCGAAGGCTTGGAAGATACTTTTTACCCAAAGAGATTGAAAACGTTTAGGAATCCTGCTTTAATTTGCTGAATGTAGTCTAATAGTTTAAATTTGATTACTGCTCCTTAATCAAGGTTAAGGCACAAAATAAATGTCCTAATGTCATTCCATAATCAAACCATCCCTTAAACCAGCTTTTTGTTGGTATATATTTGTCATGAATTAATGGCACAAAACCACAATGCCTCTTTTGTTGACATCTTAAAGAAACTAAAATCTAACAAATGGCTCTAAACTGGCTGTCGAGAAAGTCACAAATTCCCAGGGGACCAGTGGCTATAGTGATCCACAACAGAGTGGTTCCCCATGCATCCTGATAAGGCAAGTCTGCAGTGTTGCAGGACAGGAGGACCAACCTGTGGAATCCATATCAGGCTCCTCCAGCAGCCCACAATGCATCCTCTTCCCATCAACGGCACACTGGCTCCTCCAAGAAAATGGCTCTGTGCACGTCTCCCCCTCCTCAGTAGGTTCCTCTTGTCTAGCTCCGTGTCTCCGTGACCACTGCCTATCCGTGGCAGGAGATGGTGAGGCTCTGGGCTCCGCCGAGAGAGGGGTGATGTTGGTGGTGAGGGGAGGTGGTGGGGGTGAGGGGAGAGGGGGGGTAGAGACTCCAGAAGTCCAGCGGGGGGAAAGCCAGACCCGTCAAAATGTTTGCTGATGTTTCATGGGAAAGGGTCTGATTTTATAGGAGCCCTGATGGGGACATGTCATTGATAGGCTCAGAAGGCTGATGAATGGCCTCAAGTCAGATGGGGATGTGGCAAGGCTCACTGGAAGTCTTTTGTGGGGCTGTTTTGAATAAGAAAGGCTCCCTCCCCAAGAAAAAAAAAGAGGCTTAGATCTATGCAATCCTAGCACTGTGGCCTCCCCGTCTTCTATTATAGCATTTAATACGTTTTTATACACCCCCCCCCCCCCCCCCCTTATTTAAAGTCCCAGCTCCCACGAACACTTGTTGGCCCGTTTCAGAACTTTTTTGATGTCCGTCTTCCTCCATTGGCCATGGGAACTGCAACATGACCACTGGGGCAGGTTTTTAGGAAACTACTTAAAGGGAGTCCTACTATCTTAAATTTTTTCCACACATTCCGATCACTTTCTTATTTCAAAACCCCATCTTTACTATGATGCCTTTATATATTTTTTAAACACAACGTTGCCTAGTCTAAAACGGCACAAGTGCAAACTTTGTACGGGGGGGGGGTCATTTCACCCCCCTACTCCCCCTCTCCTTGAGGCAACCTTATTTTAGTGTGCCTCGAAGGAGAGCACTGGCCACAAAGGGGGGAAGTTGGGAGGGCTCTGATGGAGTGCCTGTGAGCTGGAGAAGGGAAAGCTGTGATTAGAATATGAATGGAACCACAGGAGAGGGGGGAGAGGGGGAGTGAGGAGAAAGGGGGATTATGGCTGAATTACTCCCCACCACACTGTGGATGGCAGTGGAAGACTCTGCTCCTCCTCAGAGTTGCCAGTGCGCAGGCGTGGAGACACCGTCGGTGTTGGTGCTCTTACCATGCGTCCAGGACAGTTGGGATAGAAGACGAGGTGCCCATGAGAGCACAGGTCATACATGAGACACTGACTGACATGCAGCACAACACTACACAGTGCATTCGGAAAGTATTCAGACCCCTTGACTTTTTCCACACTTTGTTACGTTACAGCCTTATTCTAAATGTATTAAATTGTTTTTTTTCCACAATGATAAAACAAAAACCGGTTTAGAAAAAACAAATGTGTTGAAGCACCTTTGGCAGCGATTACAGCCTAGAGTCTTCTTGGGTATGACGCTACAAACTTTGCACACCTGTATTTGGGGAATTTCTCCCATTCTTCTCTGCAGATCCTCTCAAGCTCTTTCAGGTTGGATGGGGAGTGTCGCTGCACAGCTATTTTCAGGCCTCTCCAGAGATGTTAGATCGGGTTCATGTCCAGGCTCTGGCTGGGCCACTCAAGGACATTGAGACTTGTCCCGAAGCCACTCCTGCGTTGTCCTGTTGGAAGGGGGTACTGAGCGGTCTGGAGCAGGTTTTCATCAAGGAACTCTGTACTTTGCTTCGTTCATCTTTCCCCTCAATCCTGACTAGTCTCCCAGTCCCTGCCACTGAAATACATCCCCACGAAAAAAGCCACTTATGACTCTAACCCAGTAATTTGTCACACTTACAGAGGGAAAAAAGTATTTGATCCCCTGCTGATTTTGTACGTTTGCCCACTGACAAAGAAATGATCAATCTATCTGCTCAAGAAAGCCCATATACATGCCCGTCTGAAGTTTGCCAATGAACATCTGAATGATTCAGAGGAGAACTGGGTGAAAGTGTTGTGTTCAGATGAGACCAAAATCGAGCTCTTTGGCATCAACTCAACTCGCCGTGTTTGGAGGAGGAGGAATGCTGCCTATGACCCCAAGAACACCATCCCCACCGTCAAACATGGGAGGTGGAAACAATATGCTTTGGGGGTGTTTTTCTGCTAAGGGGACAGGACAACTTCACCGCATCAAAGGGACGATGGACGGGGCTGTGTACCGTCAAATCTTGGGTGAGACCCTCCTTCCCTCAGCCAGGGCATTGAAAATGGGTCGTGGATGGGTATTCCAGCATGACAATGACCCAAAACACACGGCCAAGGCAACAAAGGAGTGGCTCAAGAAGAAGCACATTAAGGTCCTGGAGTGGCCTAGCCAGTCTCCAGACCTTAATCCCATAGAAAATCTGTGGAGGGAGCTGAAGGTTCGAGTTGCCAAACGTCAGCCTCAAAACCTTAATGACTTGGAGAAGATCTGCAAAGAGGAGTGGGACAAAATCCCTCCTGAGATGTGTGCAAACCTGGTGGCCAACTACAAGAAACATCTGTCATGTTTAGCAGAGGGGTCAAATACTTATTTCCCTCATTAAAATGCAAATCAATTTATAACATTTTTGACATGCGTTTTTCTGGATTTTTTTGTTGTTATTCTGTCTCTCACTGTTCAAATAAACCTACCATTAAAATTATAGACTGATCATTTCTTTGTCAGTGGGCAAACGTACAGAATCAGCAGGGGATCAAATACTTTTTTCCCTCACTGTAGGATATGGAAACAGATTAGCTATTTTCTTAACATACCCACTGTATACATTGACAGCCCAATTTGCCTGAATCATGCTTTCCACCCTGCATTGGATGATATGGCGTTTTCACAGTGGAGGGAGAAGGGGCTCACAACAATCAGTAACTTACCCATTGATGGTTATTTAGCTTCATTTAAACAATTACAGGGTAGGTTTAACATGCCAGCAACACATTTTTTCAGATACCTCCAAATCAGGAATTTCTTAAGGACAGACATCCCACAGTATGGCATTAAGCCAAAAGAATCCTACATTAGATAGCCTTATCCTTGTCAAACCTCATTCAAAAGGGTCAGTCTCTAGACTTTATGATGTGCTACAGGGGACTTTGACCCACTTATTTTGGACATGTCGTAAGTTACATGCTTACTGGGCTCTCATTTCAACACTACAATGAATGTCAATGTTTGTATCTCCGTCTTCTTTTTTTATTGGAAAATAATGCATTTAATTATAAAAAAATATACATAAAAAAAACATCCCCACAGCATGATGCTGCCACCACTATGCTTCACCGTAGGGATAGTGCCAGGTTTCCTCCAGACGTGACGCTTGGCATTCAGGCCAAAGAGTTCAATCTTGGTTTCATCAGACCAGAGAATCTTGTTTCTCATGGTCTGAGAGTCCTTTAGGTGCATTTTGGTAAACTCCAAGCGGGCTGTCATGTGCCTTTTACTGAGGAGTGGCTTCCGTCTAGCCACTCTACCATAAAGGCCTGATTGGTGGAGTGCTGCAGAGATGGTTGTCCTTCTGGAAGGTTCTTCTATCTCCACAAAGGAGCTCTGTCAGAGTATACATCGGGTTCTTGGTCACCTCCCTGACCAAGGCCCTTCTCCCCCGATTGCTCAGTTTGGCCTTGGGGCCAGCTCTAGGAAGAGTCTTGGTGGTTCTAAACTTCTTCCATTTAAGAATGATAGAGGCCACTGTGTTCTTGGGGACCTTCAATGCTGCAGACATGTTTTGGTTCCCTTCCCCAGATCTGTGCCAACACAATCCTGTCTCGGAGCTCTACGGACAATTCCTTCGACATGCACTGTCAACTGTGGGACCTTATATTGACAGGTGTGTGCCTTTTCAAATAATGTCCAATCAATTGAATTTACCACAGGTGGACCCCAATCAAGTTGTAGAAACATCTCAAGGATGATCAATGGAAACAGGATGCAACTGAGCTCAATTTCGAGTCTCATAGCAAAGGGTCTGAATACTTATGTAAATAAGGTAACCCTGTTTTCGCTTGGGGGTATTGATAAGGATTATTATTTTCATCCATTTTAGAATAAGTCTGTCACGTAACAAAATGTGGAAAAAGTCAAGGGGTCTGAATACTTTCCGAATGCACTGTACAAATACCTATACAGGACATACAGATCAGAATGTATATAGATCCCAGACACTAAGTGAGTTGCAACACAATAGTATATGAAGCAAAACCGCTATGTATGTACAGATAATGATGGGATTACAGATCTCCAAGTAATCCATAGGACAGTATAAGGAGTGGGCTACTATAGAAATCAACGTATGTATTTGTAGTCTGCATTCAATCACAGTCATTGAGAGAATATCTGCTCGGTCAGCAGTCTGTTCTGAGGAGAGAATCGTAAATAACCCATTAGCAATAAGTAACTCCTAATTAAGGTGTCTACAGGAGCTCGTACAAGGCTGCAGCATTGTCAAAGAACATCCTAGGACAGTCTAACACATCCACATCAAACGGGCCCAGAGAATGGGTCACGGGAAGCTATGGCCCCAAATGAGGATCTAATTAATTTTAGTTAAAAAAGGAACGAGGATGCGGCAGACATCCTTTTCCCATCCTGCCCGTCACTGGCTCATTAGAGCCTCATTAGCTAGGACAGGTGCAGCCGCCCCAAAAGAGCCCACTCTACCCTCCACGTCGTCCTACTGATGTGCGCTGCTTTTGTCCAATCAAAGAGCTCCAATTCAGCTTTGTGGGTGGGGGACATGCTTTGAGCTGTGTATTGGTGGTGTTAAAGCTTTGGAGTGAAAGGGGAAAGAGGATTACACAAAATAGCCTTTTTTTCTGCTGTCAATGTATTACTGTGTTGCGGTAACACAATCAGAGAAGGACAATACCTTTCTTTAGCGTTCATACACTGAACACGTCCTCAGCGGTGTCTGGTATTCAGTGTGAAGTGTCCAACTCATCTACCCATACATGTTGGGTCATTCTGTGTCTCTGAAATGTAAATGGTTTGTCTTCACTGTTCTGTTAACATCAGTAAGAAAAGACTGCTAAATGACATTATCCAATTCTCATTTCTACTGTAGCTTTTGTTGATGAATCCTGGCTATATTTTAGTGTCCATAACTTCCTGCAATTACAAAGTCTTCAAAATGTAATTTCCAATATACATTCAGATTAGTTTTGCTCATGTATTTTTCAACAATGTCTTTATCAACTATTTGACAAGTCGTTCTCAGGTCCACAACAAAAATGAAAAAAAACAAAACATTAAATAATGTTGTTTATTATGTACACAAGAAAACGAGTGAAAAGCACAAATGTAGCTAAACATACATTCAAAACTCTTTAACCCTAACCCTAAAAAAAATTAACAAAAGCCAACCAAAAAAGGAATACCTGTATCCCACTTACAGTAGCCTACATTTGGTTATTTTTGCAAACAAGTGCTTTTTGTATGCTTTGGCATTTAACTCATTATCATCAGGGTTCGTACAGACAGTGGCAAATCAAATTCAAGGACTTTCAAGTACCTTTTTCCAGTAGTAATATTTATTTTCAAAGACCATCAATTTGTAATAGTTCCTATCATGCAATTGTTTCTAGTCGCCAACAGATGGCAGTATATAGTCACAACCTCGTGAAAAAAACCATCTAACTTACTATTCATCACTACCTTACAAATTCTGTGTTTCACTACTTATTTACTACACACATGAGTGGTAAGTCAGGACTGATGTTGACTGATTACCTTATATGAACTGTAACTCAGTAAAATCTTTGAAATTGTTGTGTTTATAGTTTTGTTCAGTTTACATAATATTAAATTGTCTGTATACTTAAATTGTCTTAACATTTCACAAAATGTTAGGTCCCACAGGCTGTCCCAACACATAATGACATGAAAGTGTCTTCTAACAGTGTAAAAGGCCCTTAGTTGACTCTAAAATGTTGTATTCTATACCCATTTGAAGAGAAACACGTTATCAATGTGTTTGAAAATATTAAAGACTCTTTCAGGGGACCCTATTTAAATTTTAGGGGATCCCACATGAGTCCCGGACCCCAAGTTTGAGAACAACTGTACTCTCCCTGCTTGCTTCAATGCTTCCGCTCTCTGTGTATCTCCTTTGCCTCCTTCATTGCAGCCTGACTCACCACTGTCTGTCTCACTACTCTCTATAAAGAAAAGGTATTTTGTTATGAGAACTTATAGTAGCCCATCTTTTGATTATAACTAGCTTAATTTCAGTCAACTGCTCCTGCTGAGGTTAGGCTCCGTTCAACGTTAGCTTCTAACTTCATCCTTCTAGCCAGCTAGTTATAGCTAGCTACCTGGCTAATAGCCAGAGCCCTTGAGCTACTTAGCTAGCTAGACATCTGACTGAAATATCAGCGACTATTTGCCAGGGGGGAAGTCGAGGGATGTTAAAATAATTCCCACTGTCAGCGGTGTCGCTCTGCTACTTGCCACTGTAGGTCTGGGCTGAGGTAGTTCGTTTCACTTCTCGGCCTATGTCGTGGGCAGAGTTTCCCGTTGGACAGAGTGGTGAATGAATGCACTGCTAACAAAGGCAAATCCGGGGGTAGCAGACGAACATAACGAGCATACATGAATCATTCATGATTCCACTCGTTCGCAGAGGTAGGCGTGATTAGAACTCCGATCAAGAAGCCTTCTGAGCATTGATGAACGCAATAAGTGGCTAAACGATAATTAACCAAATAAAAAGGTTGAATAAACGCTATTTCAGAAATAAAAAGCTGCGTAAACGGCGTTTACCCTCCAGTACATCCCTGGTTGGGTCTGGCAAATCCCATTCATAAACCTCAATAACCTTTTAGCTATCGATGTGACATTTGGTGGCTCCTAATCAGTGAGTTCTGTACCTGCCTGGCTGAGTGGCAGTGTGGTTTGAATGAGCGAGCTCGCCTGGCAACCAGAGCGCGAAACACGTGAAGAAATAAAACTCCAGTAGTCTGTCTGGAAATTAATTCGCAAGACCAATACATTTCTAATATTTTTCATATTAACATATTTGATAATTTTCTGTTCTTCTCATTTAAATTCAAATACTTTTCAAGTACCAACTTGAGAAAATGTCTGATTTTCAAGGTATTCCAGTACTTGAATTTCAGAGTGTCAAATTCAAGTACTTTAAGCACTTTGTGTGAACCCTGTATCATTTTCTGATATACTATAGCTATTGCTTGTTGTCCGTTCTGGAGGCCCATGATAACCCAGCCAATGGAGTAGGGGGGATAATGAGCGCTTTGTCTCAGAAGGGCCAATTGAAACCTGTGAAGAGTGAGGGTCTCCACCCTCCATCAGTCCATCTCTAGTTCACCCTTTTTATAGTCTCGTCCACCAGCTGGCTTTACCTCTCAGTCAAACCCTATATGTGGTAGCGATAAGCCTGGGCATGAGGTTACTCGTTGTAGCGTGCTAGTTTAAGGCGGGGGACGATGTTCATGGACTGCAGCTCCTGGAATAGCAGTTTGCAGGCGTAGGGGATCCGCAGCGAGGACACGTGACAAGAGGACTTACAGTAGTGGCACCTGGAATAGAGAGAGGGCGAGAGACAGGGGAGTGAGGGGCCTCTATATTACTGTATATCAGAGGATAGAAAAGGTGCTTAGTTCAGTCTACTGGTCTTTGCATAAACAACCCTTACAACAGAGACATACAAATGGTATCCAAGAGTTCATCTGTCTCTGGGGAAGTAGATAAACAGCCTCATTGCCAAAATCCCAAAGTATCCCTTTAAGTCAACTGGTTATGCTAATCACATTCAGAGCAGACACACACACATCAAATACTTTATTGGTTGTAAGCACAATAGAATCTGCAGCTGCAATACAAGGAAACCGAACCTTTGGTATCAACTTTGATTCTAACTACTATTCTCCGGTATTACAGATGGACCAAAAAGGACACTCACCACCAAGAGTATGCCAGCAGGCCACACACGTCCACCTTGAAGGAGTCACTGGAGATCATGAGGCGTCCAGCAGCAGCATGCTGGCCCCGTAGCCAATCAGACAGTCGCGCTCCATCTTCCCCAGACGCAGGCCTCAGTCTCTAGAGCACCCCTCCGTGGGCTGTCTGGGGTGGTTTGAATGAGCGAGCTCGCCTGGCAACCAGAGCGCGAAACACGTGAAGAAATAAAACTCAGTAGTCTGTCTGGAAATTAATTCGCAAGACCAATACATTTCTAATATTTTTCATATTAACATATTTGATAATTTTCTGTTCTTCTCATTTTAATTCAAATACTTTTCAAGTACCAACTTGAGAAAATGTCTGATTTTCAAGGTATTCCAGTACTTGAATTTCAGAGTGTCAAATTCAAGTACTTTAAGCACCTTATGTGAACCCTGTATCATTTTCTGATATACTATAGCCATTGCTTGTTGTCCGTTCTGGAGGCCCATGATAACCCAGCCAATGGAGTAGGGGGGAAATCCTGCTATGCCCTCCGACGAACCATCAAACAGGCAAAGAGTCAATACAGGACTAAGATTGAATCGTACTATACTGGCTCTGACGCTCGTTGGATGTGGCAGGGCTTGAAAACTATTACAGACTACAAAGGGAAGCACAGCCGCGAGCTGCCCAGTGACACAAGCCTACCAGAGGAGCTAAATCACTTCTATGCTTGCTTCGAGGCAAGCAACACTGAAGCATGCATGAGAGCATCAGATGTTCCGGAAGACTATGTGATCACGCTCTCCGTAGCCGATGTGAGTAAGACTTTTAAGCAGGTCAACATTCACAAGGCCACAGGGCCAGACGGATTACCAGGACGTGTACTCCGAGCATGCGCTGACCAACTGGCAAGTGTCTTCACCTGACATTTTCAACATGTGCCTGACTGAGTCTGTAATACCAACATGTTTCAAGCAGACCACCATAGTCCCTGTGCCCAAGAACACTAAGATAACCTGCCTAAATGACTACCGACCCATAGCACTCACGTCTGTAGCCATGAAGTGCTTTGAAAGGCTGGTCATGGCTCACATCAACACCATTATCCCAGAAACCCTAGACCCACTCCAATTTGCATACCGCCCCAACAGATCCACAGATGATGCAATCTCTATTGCACTCCACACTGCCCTTTCCCACCTGGACAAGAGGAACACATACGTGAGAATGCTATTCATTGACTACAGCTCAGCGTTCAACACCATAGTGCCCTAAAAGCTCATCACTAAGCTAAGGACCCTGGAACTAAACACCTCCCTCTGCAACTGGATCCTGGACTTCCTGATGGGCCGCCCCCAGGTGGTAAGGGTAGGTAACAGCACATCTGCCACGCTGATCCTCAACACGGGGGTCCCTCATGGGTACGTACTCAGTCCCCTCCTGTACTCCCTGTTCACCCATGACTGCATGGCCAGGCATGACTCCAACACCATCATTAAGTTTGCCAACGACACAACAGTGGTAGGCCTGATCACCGACAACGATGAGACAGCCTATAGGGAGGAGGTCAGAGACCTGGCCGTGTGGTGCCAGGATAACAACCTCTCCCTCAACGTGATCAAGACAAAGGAGATGATTGTGGACTACAGGAAAAAAAAGAGGACTGAGCACGCCCCCATTCTCATCGACGGGGCTGTAGTGGAACAGGTTGAGAGCTTCAAGTTCCTTGGTGTCCACATCACCAACAAACTATCATGGTCCAAACACACCAAGACAGTCGTGAAGAGGGCACGACAAAGCCTATTCCCCCTCAGGAGACTGAAAAGATTTGGCATGGGTTCTCAGATCCTCAAAGAGTTCTACAGCTGCACCATCGAGAGCATCCTGACTGGTTGCATCACCGCCTGGTATGGCAACTGCTCGGTCTCCGACCGCAAGGCACTACAGAGGGTAGTGCGTACGGCCCAGTACATCACTGGGGCCAAGCTTCCTGCCATCCAGAACCTCTATACCAGACGGTGGCAGAGGAAGGCCCTAAAAATTGTCAAAGACTCCAGCCACCCTAGTCATAGACTGTTCTCTCTGCTACCGCACGGCAAGGGGTACCGGAGCGCCAAGTCTAGGTCCAAAAGGCTTAACAGCTTCTACCCCCAAGCCATTAGACTTCTGAACAGCTAATCATTGTCCCCACCCCCACCCCCTCTTTTACGCTGCTGCTACTCTGTTTATTATTTATGCATAGTCACTTTAACTCTACCCACATGTACATATTACCTCAATTACCTCGACTAAACTGTGCCCCCGCACATTGACTCTGTACCGGTACCCCCTGTATATAGCCTCGCTACTGTTATTTTACTGCTACTCTTTAGTTATTTGTTATTTGTTATTTTTTTGTTATCTATTTTTTATTATTTTCTTAATACTGCATTGTTGGTTAAGGGTTTGTAAGTAAGCATTTCACTGTAAGGTTGTATTCGGCGCATGTGGCAAATACAATTTGATTTGATCTGAACAGGCCTACTGATTCAGTGGTTTATGTCCTTGTATTTTAAATGAGAAACATTTAGAACAGGCTAACCAGTGTGTGCATTCTCTAGCTAATCAATATCATTGATTGATCAATTAAGTACCAGAGAGAAACAAAAACTCAGCATGAGTGTTGCTGTTGAGGGTAGTGTACAGTGCACCCCCTACTCCAGACCATTCCACTGAAAAGCAGTAGCCACCACTAAGGTCACAGGAAGGAAGAGCTCTGACCTCTAACCTCTGACTTTAGCACACATGATCATCCTCTCTTGCCAAACATTGCTGTGTCCTGTCCATGACAACCTCAGACAACGCTAGCCAATGATAAGGAACCACTGTCAAAAAGACGGATTAAATGTAACTGTATCTAAAACAATGTATTTGTAACAGAGACCGTAAGTACACTGACAGATCAATGGCTGGGACGTTGTTAATGCTGGTGAACAGTCCACACCTTTATATAAAATAAATACCTTTGCAACATATGACAAAGGTTTCATCGTGTATCATTCAGCGTTTTTAGGTCCATTGTAAAATCTAGTTTTCTATTCTATTCTAAACTCAGAAAACAAAAAATGTCTTAATTCCAGTAGCTACTAAGCTAGTGACTTCCTTAACAGCGGTTTCCACAGCAACAGATATCTGTTAGTGAACAATAACATTGACTGCTTAGTGTTGTCAATGGACGTGTGTTCTGGAGGCCCATGATAACCCAGCCAATGGAGTAGGGGGGATAATGAGCGCTTTGTCTCAGAAGGGCCAATTGAAACCTGTGAAGAGTGAGGGTCAACACAGCAGTCTTGTTGGGCTTCTGCTTCTGTTGGATATCAGAGAGAGCAAAGCGGAGAAAGTGAGTGAGAATTATCGAAGGATTTGGGGGCTAGGTATCAAACTATCAACTCGAAACAAAACAAAAGTTGATTCATTTTCTCTATAAGTGGTTCAGGGGCTAGGTTTCAAACTGTATCGAATCTTAACAAAACAAAAGTTAATTCATTTTCCCCATGAGTTAGAAGAAGCCATGTGAAACTTGGGATACTTTGATAAGTCTGATCTTCCACATCCAGTTCTCTAGCTAGCAGATTATATAATGGGCTAATGTGACGCTCCATTAGCCGTTACAGGATAGGTACTGTTTGGCGTAGCACAGAGAATTTTAGTCCAACCTTAACTTGCCGATACTATCTTCGTCCACATTAGCCTGTTACAATCTGCTAGCTACCAGTTCCCTTGAGTGTGACTTTGTACCCCCCAAAGCAAAGAATAGGTCATGTTGAATTGTGTGGAGGTACCGTATCGTCATTCTGGAGGGGTAGCCGTGAAGGTTCATGATGATGTCAGGGCATATGCCCGAGTCATAGAAAGGCATGTCCTCCTGAGGAACGATCAGGCCACACACAAACACACCTGTCATACACCACAGAGAGGGAGATAGAGTTAAAGAGGCCCAAGTGCAGGTACAAATTATATACTGGACATGGAGATTAAAAGGACCCACTGTAATCAATGAGGCATGCTACAGCTGCGAGTGAGTGAAGCATGCGATGCTGAAGTGTCTTTAAACATTCCAAGTTTATTTCAAGAGTTTCTATGCACATCTCTGAAGCGTTATCAATTGATAGTGGCTTGAGGATTTGATTTCTGCCTCAGTTTGCTGCTTCTGGTGGAGCATGCTAAAAACACTAACTGAAGGAAACCGTGACCCTTGCACGTCCCACACTAACAGTTACCCCCAGTGCAGCATACACACACTGCCATGCTGCTGTGGTCTGGTGGGGCCCTCTTTAGATTCACATGATGTGAAAGGCAAGGGCCCCGTGCCTCCGGTAGCTGCCTGGGACTGGAGGCCTTAAGTGTGAGCGCAAATGTTTGCCTAGGGGCCGAGGCACTCTTCCATCCCTGGCTATTGCAAACAGATTGTAGGCCCATTTGCAAATGAAAAAAGAGAGCGAGAGAAGTTAAAAGAAAGGGAGCAGGAAGTGGAGAGAGGTGCTTAGCCTGACAGTGAGACCAGGATTACACACACATGACTTTCAGTCAGTCCAGCCCAGAGAGGAAGTGGAGGGGGATCAACTCAACTCGAGAGGGGAAATCAAATCAGTGCATGTGGGAAAATTCTGTCTAACAATACACTGGAACTGTAGGACCTGTTGGTCACTAGATTGGGAATGCTAAATGATCAACCCTAAATACGCTGTGCCTAACATCACCCAAACAAATTTTCCTGTAGTTTTGTGTATACTATATGTGAGGATAACAAAATAGTTATAATTTGACATAAAATGCCTTCAGGGTAAATCCATTTGAATTCAATCACTTTTTGACAGCACCCCTTTTTGATTTGAACAAAACCTTCCATTCATATTTGTCCATAGTAGAAGTGCTCAAAAAGTAACTTTTTGGACCTGAATGACAAAACATTCAAGAGGTAAAGGGTGGTCAAAGTTGACCTATTTTGCATACCCCACCATACCATCACTGGAAAAGATCAAACGGTTGAGATTGATATCATTTAAAAAGCTTACAAGGTGGTCAAACTATTTTATAATTTAAACAAAACAAAAAACATTTTACCTTAAATAGCAATTATCTAAAAATGCGTAAACTCCCCCCCCCCCCCCCCACCAAATTATATCCTATTTTACATAATCTGAGGTTTTTGTGTTGTGCCCGCCATCGGTTGATACACAACATGCTCTTGAATACAAGGTGGGTGTCATGTTATGTCTGATAAATGTACTAAAATGGGAATCAAATTGAAATGTTAACTTTCAAACGGTACCACAAAGATGGTTAGCGGTCCAGCCACCAGAGAATGTTGACTTGAATGGGAATATCTATTTTAAATAATAATGTCAATCCTCCATAGGAAACCTATTGAAATCATAGAAATATAGATAATAAACTAGACATGACCATTTAAGTTGACATTCAACGGTGGGTGGGCCCGGCGGCCATCTTTGTGGTAGTAATTAGAAGTAAATTTTTCTCAATTCAATTTTAATTTCAATGGTGTACCCGCTACATTGTAGTGGTCTGAAGGGATAGATCCATTCTGTGAATTATATTTCTATGACTGAAATGACACCCACCCTGTGGAGCATGTTGTGTCTCAACCGATTGCGGGCACAACACAAAAAACTCAGATGATGTAAAATCTAAGCTACAACAGACGCGATTTTAGATAACTGATGTTAAAGGTTAAAAATAAAATAAAAATCTATTAAAAACCTTTTTTTCAATAAATTATCAAATAGTTTGACAACCCTTTTAAATGGTATCAAACTCAACCGTTTATCTTTTCCAGTGATGAAGACATGGATGTCTCATGGTAGGGTGGGGTATGCAAAATGGGTCAACTTTAATCCACTTTATCTCCTGGATGTTTTGGCATTCAGGTCCAAAACGTGACTTTCTGACCCCTTCTTCCATGGGCAAACATGTATGGAACGTTTTGTTTAAATCAAAAGTGTTGCCGTCAATAAGTGATTGAATTCAAATGGATTTACCCTTCAACCCATTTCCCTGCAGTGACATATACCAGTAATATGATGGGTAGCAGTATTTCTGAATGTGGTATCATAAAATAAAAATGTGTATTCCATAGGTCTACATTCTATTTCTATGGTTGTCACCTCTGCTGGCGTCACTGTTCTACAGATAGTCATGAGCAAAGTTCAGGCAAATCTGTTAGTGTTAGCCACATTAAGTGGTGCATTAGTGCCATAGACCCCTACAAGAGGGCAGCTCCTGCTAAGCCCAGTCAAACCTCTTCTCTGTCCTGGCACCCCAATGGTGGAACCAGCTTTCCCCTGAAGCTAGGACAGCAGAGTCCCTGCCCATCTTCCAAAAACATCCGAAACCCTACCTCTTCAAAGAGTATCTTAAATAATCCTCCCTACTCGCACTTGACTATTCCCCCCTACTAGCACTGACTTTGCTGATAGCTACTTTGAGGAAAAACGTACTTACTATGACTGAGATATGTGGTTGTCCCTCTTAGCTATCTCTGGATAAGAGCATCTGATAAATGACTAAAATGTAAATGTAAAATGTTTTGATTGGGAACAAGAGCAGTGCTTTTCTAAGGACTAAGGAGGTCCTTGCTGTGCGAGAGTGAGCCCCATCCAACAGCAGGAAGGAGAGGACAGGAAGAGAGAAAACCAAGAAAGGGCAAACGTCTAATAGGCTATACAGAGAGAAAGAGAGAGAGAGAGGATATTGGAGGGACAAACAGGAGTGGAGAGAAGTGTGAGGGAGGGAAAAGGGCAGAGCAACAGACAGGAAAAAATAGACCAGAGGGCAAAGGAGAGAGACATGAAAAGAGAGAGGGAAAATGGAGAGAAGGAGCAGGCAAGATAAAGAGAGAGAGAGAGACTAGTTCCCATAGCAGACGTCCTCTGTGTTGTTTGTTTTGTGTGAAAGTGAATGATAAAAGAGGCATGAAATCGGCAGAGAAAGCCAAGACAACAGCGAGGGTACAGAGCCCTCCATCACCCCCTATACAGCTCCACACAGGCGGCAAGGACAATGGGCCCCCAGCACTCACAACGACACACACCAACCCCCGCCCGCCACCCCTGGCCTGCAGCTGTGTGTGTGTGTGTGTGTGTGTGTGTGTGTGTGTGTGTGTGTGTGTGTGTGTGTGTGTGTGTGTGTGTGTGTGCGCGCGCATGCGCTAAATCATTTACTTATTCTGCTCTTCTGACCATAACTTATGAGACTAGTCATGAACAGCTAGACGTAGGATTTAATAAATTTGCCAAAACTCAGCTAAACAATTTTTTTTAACTAATACAGAATTGCTTTTTGAAAGTGGATTCTCTGTATTACATATAACAAATAAATAGCCTGCTTCACAATAAACAAAGTCATTTGCAACACTTATACCATCCCTACAGTATATACAACAGTCCGTTACTGTTGGATGGCAGCAGGAAAAAAAATCCAGATAACTCTTCAGTACACCAACATGAACAACCTTAGAACACACTCCAGCATTGCTACAGTACAGCCTTACCATCAGGTTGTTGACTTGTAGCTCCATCCCGGGCCTTTCCCCAGTTCTAGCATTCCCCCTCTCCTGCTATGCCTAACCCCTTGGCGACCCCTCACTCCTGTAAGAGACAGAGGACATTGTCCCATGACTATACTGACCAGCCAGCCCCAGTAGCGACCCCGTTTAATGAAGTGAGTAAATTATGCATGGCGCCAGTTAGCTTTCCGATTAAAACATCATACAGACCCTCACTTCTAGAGGGAGGTGCAGCAGCAAAACAATGGCGGTTGTAAACACTTTTCCCAGGAGCGGCAGTGTACTGCTGGGGTGTAAGACATTTACATAGTCTGGCGCAGGACAAAGAGCCAATTAATTGAAAAGCAGAGCCCCTCAAAAGACGAGGAGAGAGGCCCTTACTGGAACTACTGGCAACACTGGGGCCTGACTCAACACACACAAACGCACACGTGCACACACACACTCATGCGCGCACACGCTCACACACAAAGTCTTGCACAGGAATCTCCCATTTCAGTTAGTAAACAGTGTGTTGTGATTACATCTGTATATTCTCCCGTCACTAAAGGTTGACATGGGGCACTGAGGCGCTGCAGTTCATGCAGACATCAGACACTTCAGGCCTGCAACAGATCAGTTGCTTTCCCGATTATAAGTATCATATGGTCCTGAGAGGGCAGATCAGGGAGGGTCAGTAGTACCGACTGCTGAACTCTCCTATCTCTGGTCTCCTGGTCTGTCTCAGGACCTTGATGAGGAAAGCATCGTCTGCGTTGGAGATCATCACCTTCTAGATGTAGGAGTCTGTGGAGCCCTTGTAACTGTAGGGAGGAGAGTGAAGCACAGGCATCAGCTAACCTGATCTGACAAGGCTGAATAAGCGAAAAAGACCTGAAAGGACTTGGTTGTTTGCTGCGATATGGTGGAAACTAAGTATTTTGCTCAAAGGTCAGAAGAGATAGTAGATGAGGAACAAACGTTATATTAATAGTTCAGGGATTTTGGGGTTTTGCTACTTGAGAGTGGTGTTTGGGGGCAGGCAGGGGTGTATGAGTGGTGAGGGGAGGAGGCTGGCACACCCACCTGACGGGCACGTCTCTGTACTGGGGCTGTCCTGGCTGGGCACTGCCCTCCAGTGGTGTCTGGGTGACGGTGGGCATGGACTTGTTCACCAGCACCTGCTTGTTCTCCACCTTCTCACCTGGGACACACAAACACACACAATTACTTATGCATCTCTCACATGATTTCCATATTTGCTAATTCTGTATGTATGAATGTCAAATCTCAGATATATTACACGCATAAAATAAATACATCCTTCAACACATTTCTATATGGCGATGGATATAACCAACAGGTTGTAACAATAAAATGGGTGACAGTGAGGTTCTAGTAATAGAGCTTGTTGGTTCCCTTTCCAAAAATCCTGCTGGAGGGTGTTACTCACCTGGGCAGCAGATGCCGTCAGCGTCTAGGATACTGTGCCTCCAGATGGGCTTGAGTGTAGCTGCGTCCAGCATGGGACAAATCACCTTGTCAAAGGTCTGATTGGTGTAGCGCCTCAACGTGCACTTGACGTTCTTGTAGACCAGGCACCTTCCGAACCCTGGGGAGGAATGAATGGAAGAAGAGGGACAGAGTTCAGTATCGCAAATAAGTATCAGTCTGATGGCTTTAGACTGCCACTAAAAAGTGAACCAGAAGAGTGAACTCTTTGTATTTCAGTAGAGTAACAAGAGCACTAAAATGAAATCAGTGATTATGTTCAGAAGTCGGTGATTAGGGCTGTGATGGTAATTGAATAACCGTGTAGCTGACGGTTATGGATGAAGACAGTCATGAAAATAAAATAACTGTCTTTATTCATTTTAGGCTTGATTTTTTGTTTTGTTTTACTTTGTTTTCATGTCGATAAACTTCACCTATTAGCGGGAGTGTTTACTAATGATTATAAGGAATTGTTTTGCTAACTAAGTCTGTCCATTAAACGTTCTACATCTCCTCCCCTTTCCAACTGATGATGTGCGGGGGTGTAGAGCGCTATAGACTATGGCACTTCACTAAGAAAATTGTTTCATACCATCATTTACACCCTCCATGTGAGCAATGGTTTCTCTGTCCTGTTAATGTTGACAGAGCGCGCGTGCCTGAGCACATATAGAAGTACCTGGCCTGTTTCTCGCAAATGTGGGAAAGTGCCCAGCTGGGCTTCTTCTGCATTTTTTCTTCACCTCACACAGTAAGTCAACAAAGTCCGTTTTTTTTTAACATCCCATTCAAATTATAATAGTTCGTCACAGTATTTGAAAAATATTTCCTACACTCTCCCCCATCGATAATCAGCGTTGCTGATAAATAGGCTATGTATTTGTTTCTATTTTAATGATTGTCAATTTCATCTTCACACTATAGCATAGCGGTCCCTTTCATACTTTCCTTGTCAATTGATTATCTTATAGCTTACTTTCGGAAAGCCTAAGGTAGGCCTAGGTTTTTTTTATACGCTTTAAGGAAAGGATAAATGTTTGCTTGTGCCTGACATATGCTGGTGGCTTTGATTGACAGGTGCTTTTACGGGGGTGTGCGTGTGTGAGTTCGCTGATTCTCTCTGTAGGCCTATATGTCCATCAAGAAAGCATCCTAAAGTAGCCTGTCTGGACTCCATCTCTTTAATAAGAATCAAACGCTCCTGTCATGATTTAATCTTCTAAAAGGCCAATTTTCAGTAGCTTAGGCTACATTATTTCTCTCATTACGGCTTCCTCTCTTTGAAGAACGGTCAAATGACCGCAGCAGGATTTGTGACATTATGCAAATATTTCGGGAAAAGTGGGAGAAAACCCATTGGACTTCGTTTGAATGGTTTTTGCATCGAAATAGAATCTGTATTAAAATAAATGATATGCAGAAAAGCCAACAGATAAAGACAAGGTAGGCATATCTTCATTTTTACTCAGTTAATGTTGGGTCAATACAAACAGACAGATCCTCTCCAAACTGGCATTTCTTAATGTGTGGATTAATAAGTAATAAACAGAATAATAATAATTAAATGACATGATAATAACGAAGTGTAATCGCTTTTACTAAGAAGCATATCCATGTAAACAAATGTACAAACAGAATTGTGACTTTAACCCCTGCAGAATACAATACAATTTGCCTGCTCAGCCCATAGACATAAATTAACGTAGATCAGTAACTCACCTCTGTCTAGAGAGGCCTTGTTGAGGATCAGAGCATCCTCTATGTCATAGCCGCTGTAGCTCATCACAGCCACTGTCCTGCAGGCAGCTTCTCAAAGTCTATCAGCTCTATGGTCCTAGACTTCACCATGGGCTTCTGGGGGTAACCCAGCAGGTACATCAGAGTGTCTATACGCTTCCTCTGGTTGTAGCCAATCATATCTGACAGGAGCAACCATAGAAATAAAATTAGAATGGACATACCTATTCAAGTCTTTAAAACTTTCCAAAGTATTTGATTAATCAATTGTCTGAGAAATCTTTAAAAACTCATTCAGTTCAGAGCAAAGACAAAGCAAAAATAATAACACATTTTCACCAAGAAACTTTTCTCAATGTCAATGCTTGAGCCACTTAACCAAGCAGTGTCTCAGAGAATATCCTAGGGTGGCTGAGTTGTTTTAATCCTGCTTCTCCATGGGTTGGGGTTGAGCCAGGGCCAACAGGGCCAGCTCTGTGCTACAGGCAGGGGAGAGGAGCTGGGCAGGGCAGGTTATGGCATAATGGCTGCCCTCCCTGGAGGCCTTGACATTTGTCAGATGCTATTACTTCACAATCAGGCTACAAGCAACAGAGCCCTGTGATAATAGGCCCCCGCCCATACAGCCACATTTGCACATGTATAGGCCTGGCCACACAAAACAGACACGGCAGAGGATATTGGGCCAAATATAGTTCCACTCGCAGTGTTTTTGTGTAAAGATGGGGGAAGGGAGAAGGAGGGGTTGGATGGAGACAGGGAGGGGGATGGGGGTGACTGGGCGTTTGCGAATGTTAGTGGTGTCGTTTGGAGAAGTTTTGGTTACCAGGGAGCTCCTGGGTGTGCACTCTGGTCTCTCCCTCGCAGCTGAGCACACTGACCCCCTGAGCACAGCGAACAGCAGACACAATGAATTGCTAATGACACTCTTGGTGACTGGCAGGGAAAGGGCCTCCGCACACACAGGGCACAAAGGAGGGCCTACGCAAGCACCCCATGTTTGATGTCCATGCGCATACACACACTGACACACACACACAAACACTCCATCACACACACACAAAATGCATTCTGACAATAAATGTGTGTGTGTGTGTGTTCACAGCAGTACACGTTGCTCCTGTGGAGGATGTTTGATGAGTACTGATGCGTGATCTTCAAAGGTGCAGCTTAAAACAGCCACTCTTTACAGACAGTAGCAGAGGACTGGAGAGGTGTCTCACCCATGACCTGCTTGCCCATAGCACACTGGTATGTATTCCTGAGGGACTGGTTGTGATGGGGGTAGGGGATCAAGCCAGCACAGACCCCTAGTAGTGTGAAAGGCTCAATCTCTAAGTGTGTAGTGTCCCTGACAGCAACAAAATAAAAGATAAACACACGAGCATTTAAAAAATCCACAACCTCCACCACTAATGTAAACATTTTGCCCCCCTAAAAAGTACACTTGGCTGAGCTTAAAATCCCAGCTAAATTCATTGGCGGTAGTTTCTTTTGTATTGAATAACGTTAGCTGTATGAGCTGATGAAATGGAACCCAGCTGATGAAATGGAACCCACCTGTATCCCTTGATGTGTTTGTTTTTGACCATCGGCTGTCCTTTCTTCACAATGATGTACGGTCTGGTCTGCCAGGAGCAAAAGCACCAGTTGAAAAAAGAGCAAGAGTTTTTTTTAATTAGTTGAAGGGGGGTGCTAGTGCGAGATGAAGGAGTGAACTAGCTTTAAAACATCTGTTGAAACCGTTTTGGGTGCAGAACCCAGGCTGAGTCATAACTTTACTCCGTGCATAGACAGTGGATGGGTGTCATGTCCTCGCTGGTGTCCCCTACCTGCAGAGGCGTCCCCCGTCTGAGGAGATGTAGACAACGGTCGGTCAGGTTGGTGGAGATGGACACAAACTCGTTGATAAAGCCGGCCCTGCGCATCAGTCTGAAGGTGTACACCAGCCTTTGGTGGTCCCTGATCACCCCCAGGATGTTACCTGTGGACAGGATGGACACACAGAGAGAGACCAACTATAAGGCACAGCGTTTCTTACTCACAATTCTTACTGACGTGACTTTATTAGGGGTTATTTGATCAACGTACACAGAAATAATGCATAAAACAAAACGTCCAGCTAACTACTGTATCTATCACAGTGTGCAGAGCCACAGACTCCAACAGGGGTTCTGTACATATTGAACGTGAGGAAATGGAGGAGCCACAGTGAACTGGCTCCATGTGTGTGTGGGAGGATTTGCGCACGCTCTGTGGCGCTTTGACACCTGCTGTTACTAATTAATTAAGCCTGGTGGCAGACAGTCAACATAATTTGACAGTTATCAGTGGCTTGAAAAACATATACACTAATTAATGGACCCAGTCCAGACTTTTTCATTGCACATTAGTAGCACTAAATTAATAGCTCATCAGACACACTGTATGAAGAACAACATATGCTGTCTGTAAACTGGACATTCCATGTTCTTTCCCTTCATGTTTGAGGCACTGTATTGAAAATCAGAGGAAGGCTTAAGAAGAGAAGCAGTTTTTAAGGAATCAAACACAAGGGAAAAGCCACCAGTAACAATCCTGGCTTGAGAGCATACTGCTGGTTATGTGTATCAAGTGCTTATGCGTATGCCTTTGGATGTCTGGTGTGTGTGCATGTGGGCGTGCATGTGCGCCTGTGTGTGTGCGTATGTGTGGTCACCATTGAGGAAGACCAGGAAGACACTGGGGTAGGAGAGCTCTTCTCCACACAGCAGGTGGACGTCCTCCACTCCCAGGTTGAAGGCCAGCTTGATGATGGGGCCGTCCTCCATGTCTGTGGTGATGTGGGTCATCAGGGCCAGGTTCTTCACCAGACCACAGGCCTAGGACACAACACAACCACTGGTCAGAAGCTGATATACACAGGCCAAGGCAACACCATCTAGAACTGGCATTAGGGTTAGGGTTGTCCAGGACTAAAAATAAATATCATTTTATGAGCAGCAGTTCAATATTCAGACATGTTGGTTTTACACAGTAGGCGTTTTTGCATTAGTGTGCGTGTGCATGGATGTTATGGGGTTTATGGGGGCCATGGTGTGTGTGTTTGCTCAATTATGTGTGCGTGCTTGCCAATATGTATATATGTGACTGTCTGTCTGTCCGTGTCTCGCTCTCTCTCTCTCTGACTCACCTCTCCCTCAGGGGTGTCGGAGGGGCACAACATGCCCCACTGGGAGGGCTGCAGGGAGCGGGGTCCGCTGACCTTCCTGGTCTTCTCCAACTGGGAGGAGATCCTGGTCATCATGCCTAAAGCCGAGATGAAGGCGAGACGGGACAGCACCTGTGTCACACCCTGACGGTCCATCTTCAGGGACCAGTTCCCCTGGGGGCACAGACAGGTCAAATCCCCTTTTGCCATTGATCAATCCATGTGGATACCACATGCTCTGTCTGGCATAAGGGACCAGATCTTGATACAGCACTCACGGTGGAGATGGCGTTGACCATGCCGTTGGTGATCTGGTCCTGGCGCATGTGTTTGACTATGTCGAACTGGGCCGCTCGCTGCTTGGGGATGATCTGGTCTGATATCTTCTTCAGCTCCGAGTTGAACTTCTTAAAGAGATCCACAAACAGCAGAGACAGCAGCTAGCCAGAGGGGGAGAGAGAGTGTTAAGGCTCGCACCGAATGTAGTTCTAGCGTTCGTCTGCCGATCGTTCAGTGCGCTGTGTTTCAGGGACCACCCTGTAAAATAGGTCTCGACCAGCAAACACTACTGGTGTGTCTGAGCTCATATTTATTAAGTGTCTCTGAGAAGGAGTGCTGATCTAGGATCAGGTCCTCCCTGTCCATAACAATCTGATTAATTATGATCCAAAAGGCAAAACGGACACAGTGGAAACATCAAAACTCAACACTGGAAGTTACAGACCGAGTCTCCGATGCAACAAACTAGATGTGAAACAACAATACTCAGAGAGATAGTCATATCCCCTGGAGCCACAGGCAAGGCAAACCCTCTGTTCTCCCAGTTCTCTTGGCTTCTGCTGCCAGCTGTTCTGTTCCTCTCCATTATCAGCTCAGAGAAAATGACCAAAGAGACAGATTTAATAACCAGGTGTGCCAACCCTGAGATAAGCCTGACCTGGCTTCTCTCCCAGGTCTCTCTTCTCTCCTTTCCTCTACCCAGTAAGGCTTTCACTATGGAACCTCTCTCTTTCGTTCTCTCTTTCGCTCAACCCCCCACCAACCCTCCCGACACATTTGCATACATCAAAACAAACAAGCAGCACCGGCAAAATTAATAATAAAGAAATTAAGCTTCCGTTGCGCAGCCGGGCCAATTAGTTGAATGTCAGGGAATCATAATTGGAGAGAGAGGAGATTGCTGGGCGTTCTAAGTGCATAAGCCCCCTATTGAAAGGAGGCCCTGTACCCCCCTCCACCCCCACCTCGTCCCCACTCCTCAGCCAGAGCAGGTCGGGGCGGGGGGAAATTAAAGGCCTTAAGACAGCCGTAATTACATTATCAGAGCTGGGGCCTGCAGGATTAGCTCAATCGCTCCAGTCAAGGCGGCCATTCTTTTGTCACAGCGCGGAAAAATCCCTACGCTTCCCCGGCCCTGGGATTTTGGTTACCGCTGCTGCGTATCTCTCCCCTTGACAAAGCCAGTCAAGGCGGGAATACAGAGCAAGGCGGGGAGGGAGGAAGGGATGAGGGGAGGATGAGGAAAACAAAAACAGGCAACAACAAAGCGGGAGGAAAATAATGAAGGTATTAATAAAGGAGGGAGAGGGGTGAGAATAAAGACACAGGTGAGGGCATGGGGAGGCTGGTGTGGAGTCTAAATCCACTAGCACAGGCCTGGGATCAGGGCATGGGGAGGCTGGTGTGGAGTCTAAATCCACTAGCACAGGCCTGGGATCAGGGCATGGGGAGGCTGGTGTGGAGTCTAAATCCACTAGCACAGGCCTGGGATCAGGGCATGGGGAGGCTGGTGTGGAGTCTATATCCACTAGCACAGGCCTGGGATCAGGGCATGGGGAGGCTGGTGTGAAGTCTAAATCCACTAGCACAAGCCTGGGATCAGGCATGGGGAGGCTGGTGTGGAGTCTATATCCACTAGCACAGGCCTGGGATCAGGGCATGGGGAGGCTGGTGTGAAGTCTAAATCCACTAGCACAAGCCTGGGATCAGGGCATGGGGAGGCTGGTGTGGAGTCTATATCCACTAGCACAGGCCTGGGATCAGGGCATGGGGAGGATGGTGCAGAGTCGGTCTCTACTACCAACGGCCTGGGATCAGTTCTCAGATAAGTAGAAAGTACGTAGAGATTTAGCACTGCGTATAGAGACCATCGTTTTGACTGGGGAGGAGGAGCAGATTAAAAGTCAGTTTGGGGTTTCACCGCTAAAGATTAAGGTTGGGATTAGAGGATGGTAAAATGATCCAAGATCTGTGAATGCAGGCAACTTCTACCTTGGAGCTATACAACCCATTCATCCCATGGGCACCAGCATTGAGCATGTACAGCACTGTCACACAACCAGCCCCTTTGAAACATTAGCATTAAATGCTGACAGTCATCATAATTTAATTACAGAACAGCGTGAGTGAGTCCTACTGTGCAGATAGACCCAGGCTGTGCTTATCTACACTGTGGAGCAGCCAACTATAGGCCTCTGTGCTGGAGGAAGTCTGTACAGGCAAATGTGTAAAAGGAAGTCTGCACAGCCTAATGTACTCAGGCACACTACATGACCAAAAGTATGTGGACACCTGCTAGTCGAACATCTCATTCCAATATATCATGAACATTAATATGGAGTTGGTCCCCCCTTTGCTGCTATAACAGCCTCCACTCTTCTGGGAAGGATTTCCACTAGATTGCTGCGGAGACCTGCTTCCATTCAGCCACAACGGCATTAGTGAGGTCGGGCACTGATGTTGGGCGATTAGGCCTGGCTCGCAGTCAGCATTCCAATTCATCCCAAAGGTGTTCGATGTGGTTGAGGTCAGGACTCTGTGCAGACCAGTCAAGTTCTTCCACACCGATCTCGACAAACCATTTCTGTACGGACCTCGCTTTGTGCAAGGGGGCATTGTCATGCTGAAACAGGAAAGGCCCTTCCCCAAACTGTTGCCATAAAGTTGGAAGCACAGAATTGTCTAGAATGTCATTGTATGTTGTAGCATTAAGATTTCCCTTCACTGGAACTAAGGGACCTAGCCCGAACCACGAAAAACAGCCCCAGACCATTATTCCTTCTCCAGCAAACTTTACAGTTGGCACTATGCATTCGGGCAGGTAGCGTTCTCCTGGCATCCGCCAAACCTAGATTGTGAAGCGTGATTCATCAATCCAGAGAACGTGTTTCCACTGCTCCAGAGTCCAATGGTGGCAAGCTTTACACCACTCCAACCGACGCTTGGCATTGCACATGGTGATCTTAGGCTTGTGTGCGGCTGTTCGGCCATGGAAACCCATTTCATTAAGCTCCCGACCAACAGTTATTGTGCTGATGTTGCTTCCAGAGGCAGTTTGGAACTTGGTAATGAGTGTTGCAACGTTCTGTGAGCTTGTGTGGCCTACCACCTCGTGGCTGAGCCGTTGTTCCACCTAGATGTTTCCATTTCACAATATCAGCACTTACGGTAGGGCCTTCAGTAAGGCCATTCTACTGCTAATGTTTGTCTATGGAGATTGAATGGCTGTGTGCTCGATGTTATATACCTGTCAGCAATGGGTGTGGCTGAAATAGCCGAATCCACTAATTTGAAGAGATGTCCACATACTTTTGTATATCTAGCGTAAGTCTGTGCATCCCAATGTGATAAAGTAAATCTATAGGCCAATGTGCAGTCTGCATAGACAATGTACTGGAGTCTACTAACTGAGGGAGTAAACTAAACACACACAGAGGAAGTTCGCAGGAATAATATTTTACTATTAGGATAGAGAGGTTATACTAGGACAGAGGTTATATTAGGAGAGAGAGGTTATGTTAGGACACAAAGGTTATATTAGGATGGAGAAAAACAGACCCTGATTCTGTCGATGGAGCTACCTGTCCAGCCAACTCCAGACGCTTGTTGCCATAGTAGTCTCTGTCATCCACCTTGTTCTCTCCTTGGGCCAGGATCACCCTGCGCACCATCACCGCCAGGTAAATACACTTGGCCCGGAAGTTATACTCCTTCACCTGGAGGTGGAATAAAATACAGGGTTGGTGGGGGTCAATTCCATTTCAAAGTCAATTCAGGAAGTAAACTGAAATTAAAATTGCAATTTCTCAGATTAGCAATGAAGAAAATTGGAATTTGAACTTCAGTTTTCTTCCTGAATTGGCATGGAATTGACCCCAACCCTGGTAGTAGTAGGACGTCACTCGATCAAACCTAAGTGGACCATTGAGGAACGTTTTTGACTGCAATATACAAAATAAAGAGGGTTGATCCAGCTAACTAAATGATATGGAATGGGTTCTATGGTAACACACTTATAGCCATATTAACAAAGAATAGGTAAGGGTACAGGTGACAAAACTAAATTATCTTACGGTATGGTGAGCACAGTGGTTAACCCTACCAACACCTATCTCACTGCTGATAGTTCCATAGTAAATCCCATGCCACACTGGGCATGGCAGGTGTGTATAAAGCTGTTCTTGGTGTGGTCAATCTGATAGCACTTGCAGGTACATGAGTGAGGATGAGGGAAGCCAACAGCTCTCTGGCTCCCTCCATCTTGGTCTTCTTGGGCCTTCCCCACATGCACCGTCTCCGCACCTTATTCCCAATGTACAGTACCAGTCAAAAGTTTGGACACAGCTACTCATTCAAGGGTTTTTATTTATTTTTACATTGTAGAATAATAGTGAAGACATCAAAACTATGAAATAACACATGGAATCATGTAGTAACCACATTTTTTAAAACAAATCAAAATATATTTTATATTAGAGATTTTTCAAAGTAGCTACCCTTTGCCTTGATGACAGCTTTGCACACTTTGCATTCTCTCAACCAGCTTCAAGAGATAGTCACCGGGAATGCATTTCAATTAACAGGTGTGCCTTCTTAAAAGTTAATTTGTGGAATTTCTTTCCTTCTTAATGCGTTTTAGACAATCAGTTGTGTTGTGAAAAGGTAGGGGGGGGGGTATACAGAAGATAGCCCTATTTGGTAAAAGACCAAGTCCATATTATGGTAAGAACAGCTCAAATAAGCAAAGAGAAACAACAGTCCATCATTACTTTAAGACATGAAGGTCAGTCAATACGGAACATTTCAAGAACTTTGAAAGTTTCTTCAAGTGCAGTCGCAAAAACCATCAAGCGCTATGATGAAACTGGCTCTCATGAGGACCGCCACAGGAATGGCAGACCCACAGTTACCTCTGCTGCAGAGGATAAGTTCATTAGAGTTACCAGCCTCAGTAATTGTAGCCCAAATAAATGCTTCACAGATTTCAAGTAACAGACACATCTCAACATCGACTGTTCAGAGGAGACTGTGTGAATCAGGCCTTCATGGTCAAATTGCTGTAAAGAAACCACTACTAAAAGGACACCAATAAGAAGAAGAGACCTGCTTGGGCCAAGAAACATGAGCAATGGACATTAGACCGGTGGAAATCTGTCCTTTGGTCTGGAGTCCAAATTGGAGATTTTTGGTTCCAACTGCCGTGGTTTTGTGAGACGCGGTATGGGTGAACGGATGATCTCCGCATGTGTAGTTCCCACCATGAAGCATGGAGGAGGAGGTGTTATGGTGTGGGGGTGCTTTGCTGGTGACACTGTCTGTGATTTATTTAGAATTCAAGGCACACATAACCAGCATTGCTACCACAGCATTCTGCAGTGATACGCCATCCCATCTGGTTTGGGCTTAGTGGGACAATCATTTGTTTTTCAACAGGACAATGACTCAACACACCTCCAGGATGTGTAAGGGCTATTTAACCAAGAAGGAGAGTGATGGAGTGCTGCATCAGATGACCTGGCCTCCACAAATTTTCGACCTCAACCCAATTGATATGGTTTGGGATGAGTCGGACCGCAGAGTGAAGGAAAAGCAGCCAACAAGAGCTCAGCATATGTGGGAACTCCTTCAAGAGTTTTGGAAAAGCATTCCAGGTGAAGCTGGTTGAGAGAATGCCAAAAGTGTATATAAAATATATTTTGATTTGTTTAACACTTTTTTGGTTACTACATGATTCCATATGTGTTATTTCATAGTTTTGATGTCTTCACTATTATTCTACAATGTAGAAAATTGTAAAAAGAAAAACCCTGGAATGAGTAGGTGTGTCCAAACTTTTGACTGGTACTGTATTTCAGAGCCTAGGGAATGGATACAGAAGGATATGAGAATACAAAATCTATAACTGCACAGCAATATAAAACAGGCAAGCTGTATCTCAGATCACAAAGTGACAAACTTTAAAAGAAAGAACCGGAGGCGTAATTCTAAAGTAATGAAAATGTGAGATGCACGTTCATTGTCACGAGAAGAAAAGAAGGAAACAAATTAACATTCTGAGGGATCAGAGTTGTAGCAGGTCAAGTGAATCACAAAAGCCACGACCAGGGATGTGTCAGCCCTTATGCCCCACCCCCCTCGACACCCACACACGCATACAACACACACACCACGGTCACACCTGAGTCAGCAATAGTCTGTGTCGTGCTCTAGAGAGGTCAGTGAGACTGAGCGCGTCCTCCCAGACCACCCACCCTGCAGGCTATAACCATTGGCTACCGAGGACAACCAGTGAAGAGTCAACCATGCCAGCCTGTTCAACCATGTCCTGTCCTGTGTTTTACGCTACAATAATGGCAAACACAATTATCATGTGTAAAAACAGTAAATGGGAAGTCCAAAGAACTCATGGTCTTGTCATTTGTGAGCTTTATGAAATGCATGTACAATAGAACATTGACATTTATAAAAGCTTATTTGCTTCAACAAACAACATATTTTCCATTTAAATAGACATACAGTGGGGAGAACAAGTATTTGATACACTGCAGATTTTGCAGGTTTTCCTACTTACAAAGCATGTAGAAGTCTGTAATTTTTATCATAGGTACACTTCAACTGCGAGAGACGGAATCTAAAACAAAAATCCAGAAAATCACATTGTATGATTTTTAAGTAATTAATTTGCATTTTATTGCATGACATAAGTATTTGAGACATCAGAAAAGCAGAACTTAATATTTGGTACAGAAACCTTTGTTTGCAATTACAGAGATCATACGTTTCCTGTAGGTCTTGACCAGGTTTGCACACACTGTAGCAGGGATTTTGGCCCACTCCTCCATACAGACCTTCTCCAGATCCTTCAGGTTTCGGGGCTGTCGCTGGGCAATACGGACTTTCAGCTCCCTCCAAAGATTTTCTATTGGGTTCAGGTCTGGAGACTGGCTAGGCCACTCCAGGACCTTGAGATGCTTCTTACGGAGCCACTCCTTAGTTGCCCTGGCTGTGTGTTTCGGGTCGTTGTCATGCTGGAAGACCCAGCCACGACCCATCTTCAATGCTCTTACTGAGGGAAGGAGGTTGTTGGCCAAGATCTCATGATACATGGCCCCATCCATCCTCCCCTCAATACGGTGCAGTTGTCCTGTCCCCTTTGCAGAAAAGCATCCCCAAAGAATGACGTTTCCACCTCCATGCTTCACGGTTGGGATGGTGTTCTTGGAGTTGTACTCATCCTTCTTCTTCCTCCAAACACGGCGAGTGGTTTAGACCAAAAAGCTCTATTTTTATCTCATCAGACCACATGACCTTCTCCCATTCCTCCTCTGAATCATCCAGATGGTCCTTGGCAAACTTCAGACGGGCCTGGACATGCGCTGGCTTGAGCAGGGGGACCTTGCGTGCGCTGCAGGATTTTAATCCATGACGGCGTAGTGTGTTACTAATGGTTTTCTTTGAGACTGTGGTCCCAGCTCTCTTCAGGTCATTGACCAGGTCCTGCCGTGTAGTTCTGGGCTGACCCCTCACGATCATTGATGCCCCACGAGGTGAGATCTTGCATGGAGCCCCAGACCGAGGGTGATTGACCTTCATCTTGAACTTCTTCCATTTTCTAATAATTGCACCAACAGTTGTTGCCTTTTCACCAAGCTGCTTGCCTATTGTCCTGTAGCCCATCCCAGCCTTGTGCAGATCTACAATTTTATCCCTGATGTCCTTACACAGCTCTCTGGTCTTGGCCATTGTGGAGAGGTTGGAGTCTGTTTGATTGAGTGTGTGGACAGGTGTCTTTTATACAGGTAACGAGTTCAAACGGGTGCAGTTAATACAGGTAATGAGTGGAGAACAGGAGGGCTTCTTAAAAGAAAAACTAACAGGTCTGTGAGAGCCGGAATTCTTACTGGTTGGTAGGTGATCAAATACTTATGTCATGCAATAAAATGCAAATTAATTACTTAAAAATCATACAATGTGATTTTCTGGATTTTTGTTTTAGATTCCGTCTCTCACAGTTGAAGTGTACCTATGATAAAAAATTACAGACCACTGCATGCTCTGTAAGTAGGAAAACCTGCAAAATCGGCAGTGTATCAAATACTTGTTCTCCCCACTGTACCTACAGTATATAGTAGGGGTGCAACCTAAGGCCGATTAAAAGCGGCCTGCGGTGGATTTAGTGTAAACAAATCAAAACAAAACAAACTGTGGTTAACTAAATGCGCCGCTTAGATCATAGACCCGTGGTTACGTGATTAGCCTTCGATATACACTGAGTTTACCAAACATTAGGAACACCTTCCTGATATTGAGTTGCACCTCCCTTTTGCCCTCAGTACAGCCTCAATTCATCGTGGCATGGACTCTACAAGGTGTCAAAAGCGTTCCACAGGGATGCTGGCCCATGTTGACTCCAATGCTTCCCACAATTGTGTCAAGTTGGCTGGATGTATGTTGGGTGGTGGACCATTTTTGATACACACGGGAAACTGTTGAGCGTGAAAAACCCAGCAGCGTTGCAGTTCTTGACATAAACCGGTGCACCTGGCACCTACTACCATAAACCGTTCAAAGGCACTTAAATCGTTTGTCTTCCCCATTCACCCTCTGAATGGCACGCATATACTATCAATGTCTCAAAGCTTAAAAATCTTTCTTTAACATGTCTCCTCCC